CTAATTAGCACCAAAACACTTCTTCAAGCTCATAAATAAAAAAAGATTTTTCAAAAATTATGGCAGAAGTTTAAATTTTATACATATAAAATTGGAAAAACACAAATATATAACAAAATTTAAAGAAACCAAAACCTTAAATAAAGAAAAAGAAATATCCTAACCTTCCTGTCAAAACTATAAAAATTGTCACAAAACTTGTTGTAAATTAAACAAAAGTGTGAATTACGTACAGAAAATAAAAGAATAAAGAAAAAATAAAGATTAATAATATAAATTTCAACTCATTCAGAACTATGGCAGAGATTTGAAAACAAAATTTTTAATTAAAAAAAATTAAATGATTACCCTACGCCAAAATAGAGGTTTTAAAAATTTGACAAACAATTTCAGTTAAAATAAAATAATTTAAATCAAAATTAGAATAAGGTAGCAAATAATATAATTTTTAAATGAACCAAAATCAGGAAAACAGTTATATTATAAATAAAGTGCAGGTAATAAAATTAGATTGGTTGATTAAAGTTTATTGGCACAAGAGCCAGACATGGCTATACAAATAATAAAATTAGAAACAGAAAACATTATATTACATGAAACGAGAAATAAACCTTTTCAAATCTAAATTCGAAGTCAGCGAGCATTCTCTTTCAAAACAATGAGTGCTGATCAAAATAAAAGATTAAGATGAAAATGTTTTTAAATAAATTTAATAACAAATTCATAGAAAATAAATAAGCAAAACCTAAACCAATAATATTTTCATGAGTTTTAATAGTATGTTTTTGAACCATAATTTATAAAATATCATAATAATGACTTTTTCATTACAATAATATATATATGTATTAAATAAAATTGTTAAAGGAATCGGATAACTAAAAAGGTTAGAAGACATTTAAATATCACAGAAAAAGCATAAAATATACTAAAAAATATATTAACTATACTAGTTTTTGATGTATTTACAATACAATGACATTCACATAAACTAAAAGCAAATTGAAAGTTTTTTAAGTGTAATTTGCATGCAGCATAAGATTTTAATCTAACAAGGGAGTAGTACTCTAAGGAGAAAAAGAATAGTCAAAGATTTTAGCAAGTTCATTTATTCAAATTAATTTCAGTTGCTTAGTAACTAAGAGAAATTTGATAAAATTTCCCTTTAATGGTAAATTAGTTTGACAAAATTTACCCAAAACACTGGAGAGTATTCTCTTTCTGATTCAGCGGACGATTTCCAACAAAATTTCAAATAAGAAATATAAATCGATTTTCCGTTTAAGTGAGATGGTCTTTTGATATAAATGAAAGAAAATCCAACAATGCGAATGTGAACCTTAATGAAATGGCTAATTATCGCGTAAAAGTAATTAAGATGAAAATTTATTAGGAAATTAAGAAATAATACATTTTATTATATTTTAGATTGAGTTGATAGTGAACTTAATTCTCAAAATATTTAACATAATTATCATACAAATTCTTAAAATATTCTCAAAAAAAAAAAAAAACAGCTTTTACATTTTGAACAACAATGAAATTATTTTTTCTTATTTAAAATCATGGCAAAGAATAACTTTAAAGTATTTCTATAATATAATTCCAAATTTTTAGTTAGCACCATTTATATATAAATACTTTTTAAGTAAAACAGAGTAAAAAGTAAAATGCAAAAAATATACATATCAACAAAACTATAGTTAGTAAACAGATAAAAGCACTAATTAATAAAAAATGAGCTTCTGAAACTTTGGCAAAAAATGAACAATATTTTCTATTCTATAATATAAAATGTACATAATTTTTTATTAATAAAATGTAATGAGACATTTAAATGAATTTTGAGAACTCTAAGGTACATTATGTTCACAAATCAGTAATGCTTATCTAATAATCATATTATTATGGAATTAATAAATAAGTGAAACAAGCTATTGTTCGCCTCATAAATAAATATTTATTATCAACTTTATAAATACACTAAAATCAAATTTGATATAATTTTTTGTTTCTGTTCTCCTTTTCATATTTTCCATATTATTTTCTACTTTAACTCTATTATTCATTCTTTTAAGAGTCCTCTACTCTTGACACCTTAGATTTTAGGTTAAATTTTTGATTTTTGTTTTCATGATATTTTTTGAACTTAACTTTTGATGATGATTTGGACTACTTTTTTTTGAGAAAACCCGGACAAACACTTTTTAATGTGTAACTTTATTAAAAATAAAAAATCAACAAATAATAACAAAAGTAAATTATCATTCATAAATAAATTTAATTGGTTTCAAAGTGGACAGTGGCGTAGTTTAAATGTATGCTCATGGGGGTTATCTGTTATCTCCTACTAATATATATACATACACATTCATTTGTAAGTTTTTAAAATTTAATTTTATCACAGTTAAGACTAATAAAAACCAATTGATGCTAAATATTTCATATAACATATATTGTGCAAAAACAAATATACTTATAAAAAAAATAACAACAGACAAATTGCAGAATTGGATTCATGAAATTTTGTCTGAAAAAATTAAAAGATAATCTACAACGCTGTATGCTTTATGTCTCAAATTCTGATTGGCAGACAGCCTTATATCTTACGTTAATGCGAAGATGCAGCCAAATGGTGTAAAAACCCACAATCAGTTTATTTTTGAAAATTAAATAAAGAGGATTAAAATTATATCAAAAATTTTCTCTTTTCATCTCTACCATTTTGACAGTTCAGTTCAATTGAGAGGAAAAAAAGGCCTCGAGTATCCTCATTCTTTTTATCCTCTTTATCGTTTGCCTTTTTTCTATTGGCAGAAAATATCCCTATACTTAGTTCAACTGTCCACTTCCTAAGATGCTATTTTGCTATCACATGACGGAAGGCATGATCATTATAAAACAAATAGATTTACAAATTTTGATCACGATTTGTTAACAAGTTGATAACAGTATTAAGAAAAAGTTGATAACAAATATTTAAATTGAGGCAGTTATCTGGATTTTCATGCAATGGCAGAGTTATGTTATACCATGGCAAATAGCAATTTTCTTCCATAAGGCTTAAGAATCTTGGATGAATTTGACCACCAAAATTTGAATAATCATATAAAAATAATCTATAAAACAGACACTTAAAATTTCATGATATTTGTGATCCATTTCATTTTTATAGTAATTTTTTATTTGCCATAATAATATAATTTTTTGATAAACCTAAAATTATCAAAAATAAAGCAATCACTGGCTGAAAACAGTAAAAAATGAATTTTTCAGATCTTTGAAATAAGAATAATGACTAGATATATTTAAAACTTATAGGGTAAACTAATCAGTGAAGGAACACTAAAGCTTCGCTTGCCTTTTAAAAAATCATATTAATTTTAAAATTCGTAATTTTAGTTAAATGACAGTGTCAACATATTTGCTACTAATTGCAAATTGTGTTAAAAATTGTAGAGAACTTGCATAATATTGTTTTAAACTTTTTGAAGGTTCAAATAACAAGTAGTAAGAAGACCAAGTGAAAGAACAGCTCTTACCAGTGAAGGAACACAAAATTTCCGAGTAACGGAACACTTAATATTGGTTATTTTTTAATGCTCTTTATGAATTTATATGCCATACAAATATCTAAAAACAAGCCTATTCTTGAAATTATAACATGCAAATACTTGGAAAATGTAAACTTTTTTTTGTAATCATGAATTGAAAAGTAAAGTTTCAACATATTAACACATACTTTTCATTCACTGGGAAATCTATGCCCAGTAAAGGAACCTGCCTGTTCCTTCACTGGTTAGAAATTGTTTTTTGTATTTTTAACATACTTTTGATGCAAAAAATCCCTAAAGGTACAAGAAAATTAAAGTTTTTCTTTCCATTTTATTAACTTGGAAAAAACCCAATAAAGGAACACTTGTTCCTTCACTGGTTTTTCATCGTTTGGTGATCCAGTGAATAAACACCCCCTTATCTCAGTACTTGATTATGCTGTGATACTTAAAAAAAAAAAAAGTAACTCCCATAACTATATTTTGAATTCTTATTTTCGCTGTGAGAAAAATAAAACTATTACATGCAATTAATTCCACTTCAAACATATAAATACAAACACTCACCTCAGTGTTTTCACTACAGCGCGAGAATCTTGCCTATTTTTTTCTTTTCTCGCAATAAAAAACGATTAACGCGAGAAGTTCGCGCACTCTATTAATCAATTTCAAAATGCACGAATTTTGGAAAAAACTTCGTCTTTTGCCATTTTGAATAAAATCCGTTTCACTTTTCTTCCTTGATCTTTCATTATTTCGAACATCGATCTTTGTCATCTAGCTTCCCTATTTATCAGTATTGTTCAGAACCAGTGCGAACAGCAGAGCACCCCCCCCCCCCCTGANGAACCACGGAATCCCTTTCAGAACACATTTCTCTGCAACCACGTGTTCACCGTAGGTAAGGTTTCTTCATGTAAGACGTTTGCATTTTTTGTGCATGAATGTAAGATGGACAAATACCTTGTTAAGGCGACATCTTCTACTCCATAACGGACAAATGAAAATTAAACAAATGTCGATAAAACGAAACAAATACAGATATTTTTCAGCCAAATAAATATAATAGCCGATGAAAAAGTAGATATAGAACATTTTCCATATGATGATGCAGCAATCAGATTATTCAATTAGAAGATGTGAAAAATGTATTATAATTAAAGAAATAATTTTTTTTTCCAAGTCAATTCGTGTTTTTAATTTTTAGAAATCTCACTTAACTTTTTGAAATCTCACCCTGTTTTTGAGAAAGGGTGAGAAATTCTCTCCCATTATTTTTCTGTAATGAATACACTGCATCTTATAATTTTTTCAAAGAAACAAGGTGTTGCAGAGATAATAACAAATTTTAAAAAATTTCCAGAGAAGTCTATGCGACCAGGTAACCCAAAACATTGCTAGATGACTTCCTATTGTTTGGCAGTAAGCTTTTGTTACCAATCAATCTAAAGAAAAACTTTCCAATTCTTATTTTTAATCAATATATGAAGTGTTCCTTCACTGGTTGGTTTACTCTATCTAGAGAAAATTAAGTTGGATGTAATGTTTAATGGCATAAGGACTAGAATCAGCCATTCTGCACCAAATGTTAATAACATTAGGTTCTCTTGATATGCTAATGGAAGGATGTTGCAAATAGCGAAATGCACAAAATTGTAAAATATAACAATAATACTAAGATAAAAATAATACTAATACTAAAATAATACCAATAATATAATACATGAATTAAGATTATGTCCATATCTATAGATTAAAAAAAAACATATAAAAATGAAAAGGATGAAAAAGATACTAAATCATTACTAATTAAAGCAAGTTAAAAGTTTATCCCTTTAACTTGAGATGTAGAATAAATGACTAGATTTGATTAAAGTTTGCATCTAGAGCAGCGGTTCCCAATGTTTTCCACTGTGGTACTTTAAATGATCTACCTTCTTTTGGTGGAACCATGAATCTTTTAAACCAAGTACATTAAGATAATTGCAGCCACTAGAAGATTACTTTATTCTGTAACTAACTTTATAAATGGAATAAATTTTTTAATCATTAATAAACTTAAATTAGGTTTTATGTCAGACAATTAAATTCATAGTTTTATAACTGAATCAAGTCTAGATATGAATTTCTTTTTTGGTGTCTATAAATAAGTTGAAAATTAGCAAAATACGATTTTCTTTGGAATAAAAATTTAAAAAATCGGCAATAAACGTTTATTACCCTAAGGCAGTGTTTCCCAAAGTGTGGTACACGTACCCCCAGGGGTCCCCAAACAGTTCAGCAGGGCTACGCTTTCTTATGCAAAATGTCTTGCAACAAACGAAAATTTCAAAAATTTTTATTTAAAAACAAAGCTAGCCATGAAAATCTACGATTATGTATTTTTCTATTGGCTATTTTTGTTAACAGTTAATAATTAGTGGTGTCAACAGCCAGTTGTGATTTTTAACTTTTGTGCAATTGTTCTTTATCAGAGCAAAAACAATATTCGTCTCACTGAAGCAAATAAACTTATTAACAAAACATAGTACCAAAAAATAAAAATATTTTTTAAAAATTACATTCATTTTTTTATTAGTGGTACACAGCGTTACGAAAAAATTAAAAAGGGTACACAAAAATCATAAGTTTGGGAAACACTGCCCTAAGGTTCCACGTAACATTATTTGGGAACCGTTGATCTACAGCATAAATATAATAAAATAAAGAAAAAAATGATACTAACACCCTAATAACAATAGTTAATGAATAGCACATTAATAACCAGTATGGGTATTTAAGTTTCTCATAGCATGGAGCATGTCAGCTTTTTAAGCAAAAACATTTACAATATGTCATTATATGAAATTTACACTAGGAATATATTACCTCCATGGTATATATAGGATTTAACATTTTGTTTGTGAAGAGGTGTTCCATGTAAATTTCCTTCCAAATGCTTAATATTAGTTAAATCAATTAGCGACAAGCAAAATATATCTTTATATCCCTTCAGAACTTGTTTGCAAGGGAAAAAAGAACCTGCGTTGCTCACAGAACTAATCAGTGGCCATTTAAACAAGAAAGTATATCATACTACAATGTAACCAACTAATTGTGTGTAAAATTTTAATGCTAGAAAAAGAAAATGTGAACTTCCGTACCTTTTTCTCCATATTCTTATGAATTAAAATTATTATATTAATTTAGCGAATTGAAGTACGCTTTTACTGATTGAATTACAAATATAATTCATGTTCAATATTATGCAGAACTTGCATGCACAGTTTTCCATTTAGAATATTTCGCTTTTTTTTTTTCAAAAATATTTTTTGCTGTTTGCCTTTGTAAAAGCTAGACAAAATTTCTCAGCAATTCAGCCTAAATTGTTACAATTATTTTATCAAATAGCAACACACAATTCAATGATGTGAGCAATTTTTGTAATATTTTTAGAAAATATTGACTCAATCTTATTAAAATTGCTGCATTTATATCAAACTTCAATGAATTTTATGTCCACACTAAGAATTTATATTTTTGGTTTTCAAAATTAGGAATGATTCTAAATCTGTAACTGAATATATTTCTGTGAAGCAATTTTAATATTGTATAATATAAATTGAGTCACTAGAATTGACGATGTAGTAAAATATATCTAAACGTTAAAAGCTACCAAAGGCCAGGATAAATTTCACTAGGTAAAATTTAACTAATATTAAGCAAAAATATAAACACCATCAAATCATCTTTTGCAATACTAACAAAGACTTTTATACTTCAGAGAATTTTGAATCAAAATTTTTTGCATTTTCGACATCCTCAAAACTTGGCGAGACTGTGTTCTCATGTTTCTCTTGTGCTTGGAGAGAGTGGGACGATTTCCCTACATCTTTAGTGCCCCTGCTGTTTCTACGACTGAACAACCCCCGAGGGAAGAAAACCTTCCTCCCGGCATCGGGTGAAGGAGCTTCAGTAGGACTCACAGGCTGGCTCATCGTATGGGAATGACGCCTACTTCCCCTGTGCCTCCCGAAAAACTTTTGAATCCCTGACAGGCTCTCTGCATCGCTGCCTTTTCGTTGCGAGCTCAAGTATAGACTGCTGGCTCTGTTTGGATGCCGCCTCGAAAACAGTTTCTTCTGCGGACTGTTCATGAGATTGGGTTTTGCAGACATCGGACAGTTCTGCATGTTCACATCCATTGTGTTATTATCTGGCGAGTTGATGTGAATATCATTAGTGTTCATTTTTTCAGTCTCTTCAAGTGGCTGGTTCTTGAGACTGGAGATGATTTTATTGCTGTGCGCCAGTGGTGTCCCTTCATTCGAGCCATCTGATGGTACCAGAGTAGCGGTGCTCGGCTGTTTAGTGAATTTGGAGAAGATGTTCTTTTCTGGTGATGAATGGACCTGTGGCAAGCTGTTTCGAGGCTTTTTGCTGATGGTGATCGGCGAACTAGTTTGTGGACTTGCTGGATTGTCTGAAATAAGAGTTGCACTTAATTGAAATACCTAAACAATGCCATTAAAGTCAAAGTGAATGTCAAACTATAGCTAATATATATATGACAAATATTTTATCACACAAATAGATGCCAACTGCTCCTCTAGTTTCAAAAGTGGTATACAACTGAAACTTGCAGATTTATGACAAATTTTTCCAAAAGCCAATCTCGAACTAACAGAAAAGTGGTCTTTTAGTAGTGGTGGGTCAAAACCATTTAAATAGAATTTTCGAGAAGCAAGAAACATACAGTGCACAAAAAACATGTCCTGAATAACCGTTTGGTCTAATGATCCAATTTTCACAAACTAAGACTCAGTCTTAATGGTGTGAGGAGGTGACCTCAAATATGCTAATTGATTAATGCAGACGATATTTAAAAGTACAATATTCGACACAAAAACTAGCTTCTTTTGAAAAAAACATACCCTTTTTTTTCGATTCCTGACATCCAAAATATAAAGGATAGCTGCAATCTGGGAAATTTAGTCCCAATAGTTTGGCCAGGAGAAAGGATAAAAGTTTGAATCCCCCCCCCCCTGCTNCCCCCCCCCCCATGCTAATTTTACTTTGTGTGTTATTTCATCATATCTAAAAAAAACTTAGGCAAATTGAAACATTTTTGTAGACAATTTGTTTATCATCCAAAGATAATTTTACACAAAAATAATTTGTAACAAATTTATCTGAGCAAGTTGTTACCTTAGCATAAAATAAACCTTGTTTCACAAGATAGCATTCTCCTTGTTCCTTCACTAGGTAGTGTTCCTTCACTGGTTGGTTTACCCTATACCCNCCCCCAAAAAAAGCTTAAACTTTTTTGAAAAAAAAATACTTAAGAACACGCGATTAGTTTGAATTAACAACATAATTTACATCTTGAAAGACACTTTTTATTTCAAAAACATGCATAGTTAATTTGATTTTAATTGATAGTATGAAAAAATTTTTTGAATTAAGGAGCCACTAAACAAAATCAAACAATCTCCTTCAAATGGTAACTGTAACCAAAGTAATAATATGATTATACATTTACTTACTAAAACTTTTTATTTAATTTTGCATTTTAAATGAACAAGAAACATTCTAAAATCTCACAATTCTTGAAGAAAAAAAAAACTTTTTAGTAATGCTTTTTAAAAATCAATTTTTGAGAGAAATAAAAATCTGATTTCAGCTTATTAAGACAATAGATTTAGGTTGGTATTGATTAAAATATTTTCTTCAGAAGTGAAAGTAAGCAACACTAACTTACGTAAGCTATTTATGAAAAACTTATAAACTTAAAACTTTAAGAAATGACAATGTTCAGTTTACTGCATTCTGCTTAGGAAACCAAAAGTTATTCTCACTAATTTTGAAAATTAGTTACAGAGTTCATCAACAGATATATCTGCTAATAAAGGAAAAATCGTTAAAAAAAATTATCACTGTTTGCGACAATAATGTGGTGCAGTCTAAGTACAAAATTAACTGATGCCTGTACAAATTTCAGCTTGTATGACCAGAAAAGAAGCAGACAAAACAATTTATAGTTGTTTAAATCGATTTGGTTCACGATTTTTTGAAATAGTTTTTAAACCTGGTGAAGTCAAAATTTAGTTTTATGCAACAAAAAATTTTTATAAATGTTTTTTCAATTTTCCTTAGTTGATTTTTTAAATATTTGGTCACTTGTGGTATGATAACTAATCAGAAAAAAAGCAGTGCCTTTAGAAAATAAGATTATGATGTTATCACAACAAAAAGACATACCTCTATTTCTAATACAATAAAACAAATTGAAACAAATATTAGTGTTAAAACAAAGCAACATAGTATCATAAATTTCACAATGGAAAACTAATCCTTAAATTTCAATAAAAAAAAATTTATTTTCAAAAAATGGTTTAAAATTTATCATAATGCAGAAACTTTTGCACATTCTAAATCTATTTGTTCTATGAATTATCTACTCAATCATTATTACTTAACTTACTTTTTAACTGTTGGCATGAGCAAAAAAAGTCATTAAAGATTAATATGGCACAATAATTGTTTACAATTTAAAAACTGCAATGTTATAAAAACATAAAGCTTTACCTATATAATTGTTGCTTTTGCTAATACTTTTAGTTTTGTCATGAACTTCCATGATAGTAATTTCTTCATCAGAGTTGACAGAATTCTTGTCGTTATTCTCATTGTCATCGAAATTTTCTGTTATACTATCAGCATCCTATAAATCATTAAAATATAAATAATTTGCAGTAGGAAGTCTGTACACGCTGTACTCTCATTTTTAGTTGTAATAGTTTTGAGCCACTAATGAAGAAAATAAAGGGATTCAAGCACAAAAAAAAATAGTAACAACATATTCTCATAATTACTTTTTCCAATGTACATTTATTTAATGCTAGGGAGCATTTACAGGGTTGCCACAGGCGATTAAAATGCAATTATTTTCGGCATGAGGCGACTATGGCAACTTTTTTTGCCTGAAAAGATTAAAAAGGCAACTATTTTCAGGAAAAGGACACTATTGGGAGACTTTTCTGTACTCCTATCCATGTTTTTTTTTAGCTTAAATTTGGTTGAAAACATGCGGCCCGCAAAATCTTCTGAACATACTGAATTTTTTCTAAAAAAAAATAAAAGTTTAAAATTTTGAACCACAAATTTGAATAATCACTTTTTTAATTCGTTCAATTTGCACAGATTCCATTTTAAGTCTTTCGTTTCTCGATAACCTTTTCAATGGCTATTGCTACAAAATTTCTCATGATTTTAAAAAACCTAATTTTTAATACGATATTACGATGCTGAATTTTGAATTTAAGTAATCACTTTTCGCAATATATCTGTATATATTTGCTAAATCAATTATTGATAAAAGAGAACATTTTTTAGAAAAAGTAAGTTTTTTTTAATAAAAAGGTATTTTTTTGAATGAATTCTAGTAATTAAAAGTGCTTAATTTTCTGTAAACATGCTAATTTTTTTATATGAAAATTTAGTGCCAGGACACTAATGTTTATATAAAAATTATTGTTATTTGACACCAACTTGTCTAAATGGATCACGGTATACGGCAATTAAGTCATTTAATGAAATTTTAGTCATAGTTTTTATGAATTTTTGTTCTTATTTAGGATACTAGTTTTCGGCAACTATTTTCATGATTTAGGCTACTAAAAGCAACTATTTTGTTCATTTCTTTTTGTGGCGACCTTGCATTTATATATATTATATCAGGGGCTTGAAAGTCGGTTTTTAGCACAATGGGAGAAGGCTCCCCTGTGGCAGAATTTTTTCAGGCTTCCTGGGACATGCCTCTCTAATACTAAGATCTTTCTGCAAGATACTTTTAAAAATAACAAGTATACATGTTACTAATTTAAAGTAACAGAAGCGTCAACTTCAAAAGAGAAATAAAACTTTTTGGTTAAAATAATATAATTTTTTTACTTGAAAGTGTAATATTTTTATTTCATTCTAATATTATGGCTGATATTCTCACATTTAGTAAGGGGAAAACACACTAATTATATACTTTTTTGCATTTTATAAATCATTGTCCCATTAAAAAAAATATAAAAATCCATAGTAGTAGCTACCAAAAAAAAAAAAAAGAAAGAAAGAAAGATTGACAGCGAAATCACTGGAATTAGACTCTTCGAAGAGGGGTTACTAAATGCGTGTTTTCATTTCAAGGTAGAGGCATTGCAATAAATAACATCATATTAAAAATAAAAGATTTTAAAGACTATGGGGAAATCAATAGTAATAACTACATAAAGAAATAGAACGAAAATTTCTGCAGAAAAGAAAACCAATTTTTTTTTACTTCTCAAAAGATAAATCTTTCTGCAAGAATTCTGATACCTTCTGCTACAATGTCACTGTGTCGCCACGATTCTGTTCTGTCACGGGGGAGGCGTCTAATACCTCAGCTAGGAATGAACTCTAGTTCAAGACTTTTCTAGTTTCTGACTTTAGAAAGATGACGATTATTTAATTAAGTTAGAGTAAATATTTTATATAAGAAGAAATTAACTCCAAAATGCAAAAAAGAAAAAAAAATGTTTTTACTCATCATATTTATTAAAGAACCAACTTTTTACTAAGGAAATCAAGATAAAGATCTATAAAATAGTTATCAGACCTATAGTTACGTCTGGCAGTGAGATTTGAAATCTAACAAATGAAGACAAATCTAACCTACTAATCTTCAAAATTAAAATTTTAGAATAATTTTCGCATCAATTTAAGTAAACAATACACAGGGGTAAATAAGAAACAATAGTGAACTTGATACTTTAATAAGACAAATTAAGATAATTCAATTTAATAAATCAAGACATTTAGCATGGTTGGGGCACATTGAAAGATTAAATGATATTATCTAGAAATTTAAGAAAACTTTTAAAATGGAAACCTTATAATTTATGACAGAGTCGAACATCGAAAAGGAGATGGTTGGACTATACCACTTAAGTTCTAACCACATTGAAGGAGAAAAACTGAAAGTTTAGAACAATATTGTTCACCAGGTCAAGGCCCACTATGGGCTGTAGAGCTGTATAAGTAAGTAATTAAGAGTAAATACTTATCCGAATTAGAAAAGTATTCTCAGATGAAGACAATGTAATCAGCATTGGCAAATAGGAAGAAAAATTTAAATAATAGTAACTATAGAAATTGGAATGATGTATGGATGCAATAATGCATCCACACATTATTGATTGCTGATTTTGCAAAAATTTAAAAATGAAATATTTACAAAACAAAAAATACAGATAAATGAAATAAAATGATTATATCATTTTAGCTAAATTATTTTCCAATTACAAATCTGAATTTATAACACATTCCTAGCATTTTGTACAGTCCATCGCCAATCAAAAACTAGTCTCATAACACCAATTAAAAGTAACAGTCAAAAATGAGAAAAAGAATACCATTCTTAGAGCAAACAATCTCATGTTAGTTGCAATTTTAAAAGATTTCTTGTAAACATTTTTGTTTTTGAATAATTCTACGATGATCGTGGAATTCTCTCACAGACTTCGTGGAAAAATAAAATATCTGTATAAATGCAATGGCGGAAACGCCTGATAGTTTAACTTTTAAATATGGATAAGCTGTGATCTAACTATTGGAAATTACTGTAATAGACAATTTAAAGGCTATTTATATAAACAAATGAATATTTTAAACACACAAAAAAATTATCATTATTAATTTGCTTATATTATAGCAAAACATACAATACAAGATAACTTGGTTTATCATTCTAATTCATTTTGGATGAACACTTGTTGTATGTCCATATTGTTTGTTCTGTAGAACAAGCAATATTAAAGGTAATAATAATTATCTTAACAGTTGTATTTTTATAATTGTTCAAAAAATGCAACTGTTACAACAAAGAATACGTTTAAGGAAAAATGAAGAAGTTAAAGGGATTAAATAAAGATTTTTAGAAGACATGACAAAAAATCGAAACACTATTTTAAAAGAAAAGAAGGAAAATTGAATTTATAAAAAACTGAATGAAATATATTTTATACCAAGTTATAGAGATTAAATAAAGATTTTTTAGCTAACACGACAAAAAAAAATATGCAAAGTTAAAAAGAAAAATTTAATCCACTTATAAGGAAGAAAAATTGTTCTAAAATATAATTTCTAAAAAAAGGCTAGTTAGTTAGTGTAATTTCTACAAATGTAAAAATTTAATTATTGAATTTTTTTTGGCAAAAGATATAGCATATGAATGGACTTTTATACTACAAAACAGTTATATTTTTCAAGAGAGATCTGTAAAGAAAATGTTACACATAAAAAGCATTACAAAAGATTAGGGATTTAAGGCAATTAAAGTAAAGATTTTATGAGAAAACTGTAGAAATGCTTATTCAAAAGTGTGATTTGATCCATAGATATAAAAGAAAAATAGGATACATTATTAAAATTTAGTTACATATTTTTTGGCAAAGGATTTATAATATAAATAAAAAAATAATATGATCATTAATTAAAAAGTTATGTTTTTGTAAGTGAACTGCTAAGTTCACTTACTAAATAAAGTGTGTAGCAACCACAGCCCATCTGAACAGGCAGTAGAGGCTGACTTTGAACCGAATGGACCTTCTTTTTGTCTCCTTCTCATAATTAATCAAATTTATGTTTGTCCGTGTGCTATTTGTAAATTAATAAAAATATTTAGCACTAAGCTTTCCCTTACTTAAACATCCGAGATCTAGCTAGGGCCACAAGTGTTAATTATGATTTAACTATATTACACCATTTATACCATATTACACCATGAACCATTTATAAAGTTTTTTGTTCACTAATTTACAGAATAAATACTGATCGGTATACCTTATTATTTTTTGAAAACGCATTTTAATAACTTACATAAAGAATTCCTTATATTTTGAAATAGCATCATTATTTTTATACTAAAGATATTTTCACAGGAATTTATAATATTTTTTAAATAACTTACGCATTGAATCGAAATTCTTACAGTTTCATAATATTCAACATTTTTTCAGAAATTTCTGCTTAACCGTTAAAATTTAAAGACATTTCAGCATAAATTTATTTCTTTAGAAAAATTACAAAAAATTGACATTTAACGCTAACTCAGTATATACATTAACTTTACTTTGATTCATTAAATACATAACTTACACTAATTTCACTTTGTTGGGTTCTTAAAGTTCTCCGAGATCCTAATGGGTCATGTTTCATATTATCTATTAAAGACTTTTGTGATCCACGGTATTTAGCAGCCTTGAAGAAATTCTTTAAACTATTTGAACTTTTCTTACGAATTACACGGGGTGTTCGTAATCTCTCTTCATCGGCCAATTCGCTCTTCGGAGTAGAGCCTCCTTTTGAAATGGAAAGTTGAGATCGGCGGAGATTTCTGAAATATCTGTCTGGTTTTTTAGACCAAAAGAAGTCAGCAGCTTCTTTTGTTGTATAATAACTGGGACTTTGAGCACATCGAGAATCCGCCAAAGACAAATCCGAAAGATGGAATATGTCGTCCTGTTATGAACAAAATAATTGTTTATTTATTTCATAGATTAAAATTCACTAGCAGTGCAAAACAATATAATTGTGGAAATTTAAAACAAAATCCTTTAAGGACAGTTCCAGTTAGTTAAAATGGTAAGTTTTGAGGCTATTTTCCAATAAATTATCAAACATTTTCAAAAATTCTCAAATTTTTAAATGATTACTTAAAAAGTATTTTGTTTTTTAATTCAAAAAATGCTAATTTAATTTAATTCCATAAATACCTTAATATTTAACATTAGTTTTCCTTTCAGCTTTTGCCGATTTGAATGTAAGAAAGAAGGAACCTCACTGAGTTTATGGTTAAGAACATATACCATATGGTTACATGGAAAAAATCCTCTAGTATAGAAGGCAGACTTATTCATGAAAAATGATTATTAGAATAATGAACCTTTATAATCCAAAAAAGTTTTGGTCTTAAATTACACCAGGAAACAGACATACCAATATACTATTTCATCATTATAGTACAGGGGGGCTAAACCCCCTACTCGCTGTCGATCACCAAACCCAATGATTGCTTGGCAATAAATGCTGCCTCTTGGCATAAAACAGTTGAAATTATTAAACTAAAAATATTTATCTATTAAAAAGAGCACTTATGCCACCACTTCCCATGTCCAAATGTTTCCCCTAAGATACTATTAAGATCTATTAGTAAACATAAATCATTTTTCTAAGTAATCATTTTTTGAAGTAACATTTCAAATTAAAAGTATATTGTTACAACAAATTTGGTGAGTTCATATTGTAATTTAATATTTTTCTAACAAAACGGACAGATGTATTTTAAATACAAATTTTTGCATTCATCAATTTGTGAATGAAGCTGAAAGTTAAGTTCTAAATCATTTAACAAATCTTCTTAATCTTCATTCATAATAGTAAATTAATGTCATTTGCACTAAAAATAATAATTGTGAAACGGTCAATAAGATCAGACACCGATTTAAATAACTTTATCTTAAGATGCAACGTAGAATTAAGTTATAATAATAATAATAAAAAACAATTCTCTTAAACTCTTAATTTAGAAAACAAACAAAATCAAAAATGTAATAATAACAGTACAGGTAAATACCTTTAAATTAGGGATAAATGTATTTATAGAAAAACACCTTTATGACTTATATGAATAACTGGATTCAACCATGTGATTATCCGGCCAATAAAAATGCACCAACAACAGTGTAAAACTGTGACACCATCATTAGATTTTTATGTATAGTTAAGACACTGTGCTTACTTACACTTAATCCACTGTGGTCTTTGAATTCATCAGGTGTTGGAGGTCCAGACGTATTGCAAGAAGGGGAGGGTCCTATTGTGCTGTCCTTCGACGGTGCTTTCCTTAGTTTCTTTCGAACTGAAAATAGGAAAATTATGAAATAAAGATAAAAAACTATTATTTATTTTAATATTACTCTTATTCCTGTACTCTTTATTTTTAATAATGAGCTGGTTCAAAAAATATTAGATGACAAAAAAAGAATGATGAGCTGTAAAAGATTCCAAACAAGGATATATTTTAAATCACTTACACTCGATAAAAAATTTACTATTTAAGATAGTACACTTGTCATCAAGCAAGCTGAAATAACCAGATAAAATCCCATTGCTTATTACAAAACTCTATTTCATATAAGCTTAACAATAAGTTAAAAATGAACAGTGCACGTACAATGAATTTTATAATTAAAAGTAATGTGTCTTTCTCTTGATATTAAAATATCCTAAATGACACCAACACCACGTTTCACTATAGGTGTTTTACTTTATGCAACATTTTTTTTTGCAGCTCAAAAAATATAAGACGTAAAAGCTTGAAATTACAAAGGTGTGTAATAAAATTTACGTGGAATATGATTAAATAAAAAAATTAATATTTGATGTTGATTATTTGGAAAATTATTAACTGTTAAACTCATAGTAAAAAAACAATACAGGCCACTTAGCAGCTTAATTGAAATTTGACAATTTGAAAGGGCCATTTTCATTTATAAACTTAACAACAGCTCTTTTTTTTAATTATAACTAAAACAATTTTAACGTATTTATTTTTTCTCTATTTTTTGATTGACATAATTTGACATTACATATTATTTTGTTGCTCAAAACTGTAACCGCAAGAAACTTATAATTATGTGGGGTGTAGAAAAAAGTACAGGGAATGAAAAAAATTTAACATTTGATAACTAATTTAAGAATTGCTAACTGTTAAATTTGTAGTATAAAAATCTATGAGAGCCACTCATCAGCCTCCTGAACTGCTACTACAGAGTTGTAGTCTAATGTACTGAAAGGGACATTTTTATTTATGAATTGAAATTCTATTTTCTCAGAACTTATTGCAACTATTTGCTTTTTATGATTTTTTCTCAGTTCATTTAATCCATTAATGGATAATTACTTATCCATTAATGAAGAAAAATATTTTTTTTCTCTCTTGAGACTTTTGTTTAATAAGTTGAAAATGTTTTTTTTTTTTAAATTTATTTTTCAATAAAGGCAGGTACTGAACTTTCGTTCTTCAACTTGGGAGATGTCGGAAGTGTTGCTCATTTAACGATACCCAATGGGTATCTGTGGACCCAAGACATGGACGTGAGCAACATTACCCATGCCACACTGCCACAGATCCCCTTTCAGAAAGTAGGCCACGTTCACACATAACAGAGGACAACACACACAGAAGAAATTGAACAGGATTCAAACCCGTAGCCATTTGCTTCACAGTCAAAAAGTCAAATGTACACAAACAAATCTGCACATTTAAAGTAGATTTTCTTTCAAATAGGTTCTGTACTTAAATATGCCATTATTAACAACAAAAACACTAAACTAGCTGTTACTTTCAAATAAGTATAACAGTAGATAAGTTTTGGTATCCTTATTTTCATATTAAAAATGAACCTCATGATTGAATTTACGAATAAAACTAATTCTTTAAACATGCAGAAGGAAATTATTTTCATGTTAAAAAAAAAAAAAGACTCATGATTGAATTTAGGAATAAAACCGATTCTTTAAACGTGCAGAAGGCAATTATTTTCATATTAAAAAAGAACCTCGTGATTGAATTTGAGAATAAGACCAACTCCTTAAACGTGCAGAAGGCAATTGTTTTCATATTAAAAAAAAAAGACTCTCATAATTGAATTTACGAATAAAACTAATTCTTTAAACATGCAGCAGGCAGTTATTTTCATATTAAAAGATACCCTCATGACTGAATTTGAGAATAACACCAACTCTTTAAATGTACAGAAGGCAATTATTAAAAAAAAGAAGAAAAAAACTCATTTATGAATAAAACTAATTCTTTAAACGTGCAGAAGGCAATTATTTTCATATTAAAAAAGACCCTCATGATTGAATTCGAGAAAAGACCAACTCTTTAAACGTGCAGAAGGCAATTGTTTTCATATTAAAAAAAAAAGACTCTCATAATTGAATTTACGAATAAAACTAATTCTTTAAACATGCAGCAGGCAGTTATTTTCATATTAAAAGATACCCTCATGACTGAATTTGAGAATAACACCAACTCTTTAAATGTGCAGAAGGCAATTATTAAAAAAAAAAAGAAGAAAAAAACTCAATTATGAATAAAACTAATTCTTTAAACGTGCAGAAGGCAATTATTTTCATATTAAAAAAGACCCTCATGATTGAATTCGAGAATAAGACCAACTCTTTAAACGTGCAGAAGGCAATTGTTTTCATGTTAAAAAAAAAGACTCTCATAATTGAATTTACGAATAAAACTAATTCTTTAAACATGCAGCAGGCAGTTATTTTCATATTAAAAGAGACCCTCATGATTGAATTTGAGAATAACACCAACTCTTTAAATGTGCAGAAGGCAATTATTAATAAAAAAAAAACTCATTTACGAATAAAACTAATTCTTTAAACGTGCAGAAGGCAATTACCAGAAGATTCTCTACTCAAGAGATCAGTCATCATATTTAAAAATCCTCCTCTCTTCTCATAAGAGGCAGGTTGAAATGATTGACCAAGTCTAGATATTCCACTACAAACACTGCCAGATAAATTGTGAGTCAGGCGGTTTCTCATATCACCTTTCTCATAGGGTATGGCATTGATCTAAAACAAGACGGTTTTAAAAAGTATTATAAATCCTTGAACATAAATGAAATTAAATAAATAAGCATTCTATAATTATTAAATTTAAGTGTTTTTTTTTTTTAAATTATAAGAGTCATCTTAAAGTAAGAACAGATTATACATCCTGTCAAGTGATGTCAGTTCAAAGTTAGCAATTCTCTCACTGCGCTGTCATTATGTTTCATGTCTCTGCCAGAGTTGGTTGCATGCCAACTCAACTCAATAATTACATTACTCAATAACTTGACAATTCAATAATTATTAGATTTAAATGTTTGTTCAAATTACCAGGGTCATTTATAAAGTAAGCACCAATTATGAATCCTGTCAAGTGATGTCAGTTCAAGTTTGGCAACTATCTCACTATGCCACCATTACGTTTCATGTATCTGCCAGAGCTGATTGATTGTATGGTTATATTGCTTTGTTTGTCGCCATGTCAATCAGTAGTACCGCCAATTGCGAAGTGCGTTCAGTTATTGGGTTTTCAAATGCAAAGAAGGCTTGTCTGGCTGAAACTCACTGGCATCTTATTGAAGTTTATGGCAAAGGTATAATGAATAATAGAAATGTGTATAAATGGCATAGGCTTTTTAATGAAGGAATAACAAATGTTCATAATGAATAAAGTTCTGGATGACATACTGCCATGAGTGTTAATTACTGGTTCATCCACAATACAGCCCTGACTTTACTTCATCAGACTTTCATCTGTTTCCAAAACTTAAGAAGTTTCTTATTGGAAAACGGTTTGAAAATGATGACATGTTTAAAAAAAACTGTTACTAAATAGTTTAAGGAGCAGACGGTAGAGTTCTTTAAATAAGAGGATCCAAAAACCGGTGTCCCGACTTGAGAAATGTTATAACGGTAATGGTGACTATGTCAAGAAGTTTGTCGCTATGTCTTATTTTCAGCTTGTTATTAACAGACAAATTTGGTATTTTTATGTTAGCATTTTGAGGATGACAGGAAAATTTGTAAAGTGGATTTTTCATAATATGTCATACTCGTTACATTGATTTTTCACTGTCATAAAAAAAAAGTATCATAGACAACAAGAATATAGCAAAAACATACCTTAATATCTTCAAGTTCATCTTCATCTAATGTTTCCAAAGGCACAAATTCAGCTTCATGAGGAGGTATACTGTAAAATTATAAGATGATAAATTAGAAAATTACTTTTGATTATCGTATTTTTTTATATTTGCTATAATATGCAATATTTCAACACTTACACCAAATTGGCAGCTGAACCCATGGGTGGCTCACTATAGAATGGCATAGCTGCGGCTGTGTACGGAAGATCAGGTAACGTTTCATCCCAATATTGATCTTTAATTAGCTCAGGATGCTCTTGATGCATTTCATCAACAATGAGGTATGATACCTAATTATAAAAGAAAGATCACTTAAGCTTTTTTTTTATTATTTCAATTTTTTTAAGGCTTCTTCGTCCCACTAAATAATCCTTTTTAACAAAAAATATGCGATTTTCAATACTATTGTGAGTTTGAAACATTTACAACAGTCAGATTAAGTTTTAATCATCTTTAGCTAATGTCCTCTATGCAGAGTATCAAAGCTTCGGTAAAGTGACTTATCATAATTTGGCGTCCGTCTGTTTTAGAAGTTTTGTTTATATTTCTTTCAGTAATTCAGCGGCCATTCGCCAGGGCACAGAGATATTGCGTTTTACGTCAGAAAAACAAATTAGCATGCATATTTAGGCTTGAGTAAATTTTATGCATAGGTGTAAGTTGCTGGCATCGACTTAATGCAGTTGAGGATAGATGCCAGATATTCTGATTTCTCACTCTTTTTCATTGTCAGTTGAGTCTTGTAGCTGAAGATGGAAAAGAAATAAAATTTTACGCATAGCATATTATTCTACCATTGTTATTCATGCTTCGTTCTTGTGTAACACGCTTACAATTGTTGATGCTGTATGCCAATAAGGCAAAAGGGTTGAGCTTTTTGTTTTCCAGTCGTTCCATCTATGAACGAGAATTCGACTTCTGCCACACACATAGGTCACAGCCCGTTTATAGGGCAGACCCATTCATTCCTCTATAGATTGTAATTTTGACCTGAACCAGAGAAAAAACAATCTCCAATTCAGTACCTCCAGAGGTATGATTTGCTATGGGAACATGCAGAACTTTGTGACCGCACAGATTTATGTGTACCAGTCCCCATTTACTACAACGTGGAGTCTTCGTTCTGGCAGAGATCAAACTCAGGACCTCTAGGAAATGGGCTCAATTCCCTACCTACCAGGCACTATCACAGCACTAAGTTTACAGTAGACAATGTAAATAGCAGAAATATTAGCATGTGGAAAAGTCACTGTTTTATAAAAATTATGATATATATATATATGTGTGTGTGTATATAAGCACACCAGACAAAAAATTAGTCACCCTTGGAGAAATTATGAAAAACAACATTTTATAGCAAGTAACACCGCCTTTGGATTCCATAACCGCCAGGAATCAGTTAGGAAGTGAGCCCACAAGGTTTCGCAGGCACGTCAAAACCATTTTAAGCCACTCGCTGAGGGTTTGGTAATGCAAATCCACCAAATTGCGATAATGCTGATTTCGGCGTTTTACCCGTTGTTCCAACATGTCCCACAAATTTTCAATGGAGTTGAAGTCAGGTGATTTTGCAGGCTAGTCAAGATGTAATTGAGTGTTCATAAAATCAGTCACATATTCTTCCAGCCCAATGAACTTTCCTGTTGTCATCTTGAAAAATAAGGGTATCGACAACACACTCTTCATAAAGATGTTGACAGAAAGGCAACATCAAATCATCCAGAATGTTCAAATAAACATGTTGGCTCATGTCAGTGGCCACCTCAGTGAGGAGGCCCAATCCATAATAATAAAAACGCCCTAAAACATGACTGACCTATCGACTTGAACCTGACTTGGCACACAGTCAGGATGAAGGGCTTCATCTGCTCTTCGTTGCACTCGACGACATGCGCCCTTTCAATAAAAGCAAAACCGTGATTCGCCAGGCCATATTACATTCCACCAGTCAGCAACTGTCCACGTTCGGTAACTTTTAGCCCACTGAAGTCGCGCAGATTTATGTGCTTGTATGAGCAATGGCCTCTTACGAGATGTTCGACTCCAAATATTCATTGCATGCAGTTCCAGTCGCAATGTTCTCTTTCTTCCAGCTTGGGATGGACCTTCATTTACTAACTGGAGCAATTACAGACAGGTTTGGAAGTGATTTTGATTGACAAGTCAGAAAGCACGTCTCCGGCTCCTTTCATGAAGGATCTTTTTCCAATCACAATTCTGACGTTGTCCTTCGTGACCATGTGTATTACACCACTGCTTCAAGACAAGCTGAACAGTCCGCATCGAAACACTAACAAATCCAGCAGCTTCATTCACCATATGAACATGGGCATGGTCAAACACAAATGCCTCTCTTGCCACTCGATCACATCCTTACACTTATCCATATTTACACACAATTTCAGCTTCAAACAAAAATATCTCACTGATAGCTACTTGCCTGTGATCACGTTGACGCAGTGTGCAAGCAAGACTAATTTTTTGTCCGGTACCATAACTGGGCTCATTACATTAAAGTATATAAAAATGAATTATTTATTGATCATAATAATTTTCCTTAAGGTGAAAAATTTTACACAATTAGCATTTTCTTAAAAAGTGTTAAAAAAAATGTGTTAAAATTAAGTGTTAAAATAAAAAAATGTTAAAAAATGAAATTTAATTTCATGAATTGTTTTTTCTACAAACAAATGAATTTTTTTTAAAAAAAACTTAAAACAGTGAGACTAAAAAAATATGAGAGAAAATTAAAACCAGAATTTGTTTTCTATTAATGTCAGAATGCTATTTAAGTCGACAGAAATATAATAATAAATTTTTTAAAATAAAAGTATACAAAAAATTATTAAAATCAGGATATATGACCCAGTTAATTTCATTTAAATGCAATTATGTATATAAATGAAAATCTGAACTGATATTATTACCTGAATATCACGATCTATGACCCAATTTACTTCAAAATCATCATCATCTTCTCCAAATGGATTAACTAAGGTTTCAGCTACCTGAAAAACCAGAAAATAACAGATTTAGTTTTTGATTTAAAAAAAAAAAAAACATCTGTCTTGAAGGGAAAAAATTTTCAAAATTTAGGGAACTTTCAGATATGTTCAATTACCTTCATAACTAGAAGACTGATTTTGTAGAAATTTAGTACGAACATATGTTGATGTAATACAAGAAATGGGATTAACACCAGCAATAAAAATTTTGTGGTCCAATAGGACCACCTTGGTAGTCCTTTAGTGGTTGAAAAACTTAATGTGGTTGACAAAATTGAGAAGAAGAAAAAAATTTAATTCTACTATTACATAGTTCATTTTATGCTACACATCAAAAATTATTTATTGCCATCGAAACCAATTAGGTTATTATCCCATTATGATATTTTTTAATGAAATTAAGTAAAAAAAAAAGCTAAATTAGTAATTGTAAATTGATTAAACATAGAGATAAAAAAGTTGAGATGAAACAAATAAATGAGGAAAACAGAGAAAGTAAGAACTAACAAAATATTGCATTAAAAATAAATTATCTAGAACTAAAAAATTTTAAATGAAGTCAATTCTACTAGAGTAAAAATACTATCTTATGGATGAAAAATTATACTGTCAGTACATGAATGCAAAGCATAGTACAACATGAAAATTTGAAATTTCAAGATATAATTTAAAATTTTTTGCACCAGACACTTTCAGTTAAATTCATTTGAATAAAACACATTACAATTCCATACCAATTAAATTGAACAATAAAATTAGTACAGCAACTTTTTAATGCATGGAATTCAATGCAAAAAACTATTTTTCGGTAGTATTTTGTAAATTCTAAACATATTTCTAAGGAAACAAATTTGTTCTCCATGTGTATGATTTTAGCAACATTTGTGGAACATTTGGCAACCATTGTCGCCTTACTCCTACAAATAAAATAACCATTTAACAGTCATAATACATACAAATTATCTTAAGTAACACTTATTGGAGTTAAAATTTATGAAACTACGGTCACAGAATCAAACAAAAGAAAATAGGTAAGTAGTTAGTATGGCCTTTTATATACATATTTTACAATATGATTTCATATTGGTAATAATACAGGTAACTATGCTTTTTTTTCCTACATTGTTTTAAGGGAGGGATAGAGAATTTCAATTACCCTTCCCAAACCTTCACAGACCCTCTATAGGGTTAAGGTCCGACTTCTACACCTCAAACCAGGCAAACTATTTTTCTCAAAGACATGAAGGTGCGTGGCGACCTTCAGCAAGAAATCCACCTACATTATCAACCTTCCACTATTATGAGCATTAATTTTTTGCATGTCAAAGGGCAAAAAACAACTTCACTCATGAAAGATAAACTATTTGAACTTGAAACCAGCAATGTGCCATAAAATATACAGAATCTAAAATATTCGTTTCAAATTACTCTATCATGAGAAAGGCACTAATGCACTACTTTATTATCCCAAATGCTGACATGAGAAAGAATCCATCAAATATACACATCCAAATCAACTGACAGCCCAGAAGTGTAGAATGGACATGCCAGCCCAGTCTCCAACAACTGTCCAACTACTTAGTTTCTGAACTGAGAATCCACTGTCAGTTAGAATCTATATATCCACAGAATATGACTCAACAATGCTTTCAATATAGCTCAGGCATATTTCAATAGCGACGAGTTCAGTTCTGAATGTAAAACAAGAATTAAAATTTCAGTTTTAAGGTCTATATGCAGAAGAAAGAGCCCTGATGGAGATACCTGGGAAAGGGGTTTGGGTGGAGAGGAAAGGAAATTTCAGAGTGAGGAGAGTCTGTTTTTAGACCACAATAGAGGTAATAGGTCCCATCTGACATTTGTTTAGATGTTGCCTATAAAAGCTTGCCTTTTTTTATCACCCTTATATATTCTTTGCCTATATTTGGTCCTTATTATATCACCAGAAGGATCTGGTTAGCTAAAATGTAGCCAAGTGCTGACACCTAGTGAGTCAGATGGGGGGAGAAGTGTGTTTATAACTTCTAGTAAAATCAGATCGCCAACTCTTTACATTCTAAAAAAGGAATGAAAGATGTTCTCTATTAATTCAAAGCTGCCAATAACAAAGTTTTGTGAATGTGAACTGGTAACAACAAAGAAAGTACCTCCATTCTAGACTAAGTTTATAATCTTTTGAGATTGCTTAAAATGATAAAGCAACCTAAAAATAATATATAAGAAGTAAAACAATTATATGTTCCTTGTACAAGTAAAATAACTTACTTTTAACCAGCCCATGTAGAAGAAAAACTGAAGAAAATTAAAAACAGGGATATACAAATCAACATCGTAACCAGGATGACCTTGAGCAGGGTCCAAGTATTGTCTTCCCATGAGGGTAGATAAGAAAAATGTATACACGACCAGTGTAACAACCTAATATTGAGGAAAGAAAAACCACTATAACTCATTTAAAATACATATTTGAATATTGTAACAGTTATAAGATATATCTAATTTTGAAATAAAACCTAAAAATAAAATAGATTTGATCTTAATCAAATTATAATCTCAGGTTTAGCTTATGTTTTTTCATTAAAACACCTTTTCCACAGTTCTCAGAATAATTTATTAATCAATAAGTTACTTCTAATTCATAAGCTCACAGTTTCTTTCAAAGTAAATTAGACATAATTTTTTTTAAATATTCGCTTCGTTTAAAATTCTATAAGCTGACAGAAACTAGTTTAATTTTTTTATATCAAACTTTCATACATTATTTATAAATATTCATCTCTTTAATATTTATCAATAGCAGCTCAAAGTCTAAGTTGATAAAAAAGGAGCACTTTTTTTTTCAAAGTAACTTGAAACTGACTTAAAAATAGGCATATACAGGGTCTGGAAAAAAGTGTCAAGTTTAATTATTTATTTAATTTGTTTATATTAAGAGAACATTTCAATAAACGAATTTGTACGAACTTTTTTTCATGGAATGGCAATTTGAAACTTTATAAGTTCTTTAATGTTTTGTGTTTTCGCAAAATATTTTATGAATTTTTCAAATAAGTAGTTTTTATAAATGGGTTTTAGTAATAACAACATCTCAGTTTATTACATGACTTGGCCCTTGGACATAAATAAAATATGCGAAATATTCTTAATGGTATATTGGGAAAAAAATTACCCTGAATAACTTATCAGGGTAATTTTTTTCAGTTTTATAATCAGTTTTTCATGCTCTAGCATTCAATATTAATAGCTCAGAGAGATGACCTCTAATATGCTACATAATTAGTCCAGATAATATTTTAAATTATAAAATTATACACAAAAACGTACTTTCCCAGAATAATACATAGAATTTTAAAAAAGACATTTTTAAAATTTGATATCTCAGGAATTACTCAATTGCTTTCCCTGAAATTTGCCATGCAAAATTTCATTCTTTAAAAATATGTACAAAATTGTATACTGTACAATTCAAATTTTTCAGATCATTATTAAATAAATTAATAAAAAAAATATTTACTAAAAGTCATTTTTTGCATGGAATTATCTTTGAGTGAACAAATTTTACAATTGTGTACAAACATTTTTCAATTCGTTTAAAAAGTTCTTCAGATATGGCGAAATATGCAAAAGGTAAAATTAACGTAAAAGGATCCAAATTTTTTACCGCTCTCCTGATCGAACTAATTGGGACCAAATTTCCCAAATTGCAGCTACCCCCTATATTTTTTGGTTTAGAAATCCGAATCCGTCAAAAAAAATTTTTTGTTTATTCAGAGAAAGTAAGTTCTTGTGTCTGATTTCGTTACTTAAAATATCGTCGACACTAATCAATTAGCATATTTGAGGCCACCCCGCTTGTACCATTAAGATTGAGTCCTAGAACATTAAAGATCCTATCATTAAATCAAAAATTATTCAAGGTGGTTTGTTTGTTTTTTTTTTTAAAAAATTTGCAGCACTACACCTTATTGAAACAAATTTGTAAAGAGCTTTATTATAGCATTTAGTAATATTAAAAAATTTAATTTAAAAAATTCACAATATTTTGTATAGGCATAGTGTGGTTTATAATCACTCTTAATATACATTTTTAGAATCCTTGTCAGCAATGGAAAAAATAAGATACATACATAATTTTTAAAAAAAAAGGAAAATGATGAAATATTGTGGAAACCAATATTTAAAATGCCGAAACCAGACTTTACAAAGAGAGTTAAAAAGATGTGAAAGACAATTATTAGGATCATTTCCACATTTTATGGGACAATAAAATGATTTTTAAACATTTATATAATCTTTCGCAATTGTTATTTTTTATACTTTGATAACGTTTATCTTTTTCTCTGCTAATATATTAATTTCAGACCATTATTTTTACTTTTTGTTAGCAAATATTTTTAATACATATTCTAAGGAGATGATTATAAAACATCCTCTATGTAAAGTACCTGAGTATAGACAAGCTAACGTTGATAACGTTTATCTTTTTCTCAGCTAATATATTAATTTGAAACCCTTATTTTTACTTTTTGTTCGCAAATATTTTTAATATATACAGTACAGAACCCGTTATCCGGAAATCAGAAAACCGGAAAACCAAAAAACCGGAATGAAATTCGATAAATTTTCCCTCCATTTTTAAAAAAAAAATTTTTTTTCCTCATAAGATTTTAGGATTTTTCTTTCTTTTTTGAAAGATGTTTACCTTACCATCATTTTGGAAATAATCATTAGTGTATTACTCCATCGTTTTTTCTTCTTCTTAAGATTATTTCCAAGAAAAAAATTTTTTTAGTTGGGTTTAACAATAAAAAAACGGCTTTTTGTAGCGATTCAGAAAACCGGAAAAATCAGTTATCCGGAATAGCGATGGTCCCGATCATTCCGGATAATCGGTTCCCTACTGTATATACTAAGGAGATGATTATAAAACATCCTCTATGTGAAGTACCTGGGTATAGACGAGTGGTATACTAATCCAATCATAGTTGAATAAACCTCCACAAAGTGCCCTGTAATTTGCCATTGCCTACAAAAAACAAAATACTGTTATATGCATAGAAAATATAGCTTTTCAGGAAACGATCAGTGGCGTGCAGAAAGGTGGCTACAGGCACCCAGTCATTAGGTGCAATTTGAATGACAAAACAATATAATATTGTTATTATATTACTTGTATTATTTTTATTGGGAAATTAAATTGTTTATTAGGCAAATACTTTGCTTAAGCAAAATGTTTAGAGAAACTAAGATTTTTCAAAAGGTTTGATAAAAAGATTTATATCATCAAAATTTATTTATATAATTTGATTTTCAACGAAAAAAAATGAAGAATATATTTTGTAAAGAATAAATTTTTGAAAAACATGGAATAATTTCAACGTACTTTTACAATAAAATGAATTTTACATAGGAATTTAGGCTTTTACAAATATTGTTCTAAAGTTTTTCCCCTTTGTGTTAATAAGCACATCCAGATAATACATTTAAGGGAAGTATTAATTAAAAATTTAGTAACCACACACCTCTGCAAGCCACTGGAAATGATTCATTTAAACAATTACTAATTAAAAATATAGAATGTTAGTCCATTTAAATATTTAATTTAAACTGCTCGTAAATAATAATTTAATAATAATTTTCAAAAAAAAAGGAAATAAAATATATTTTTAATATTCTTATTAAGTTGCAATAAATAAATAAAAATATGAAATAATACAAATGGTATATATATATACATATACAGTCGAACCTCGATCATTCAGCATTCCTGCATCTTTCATTTTCCCGTGCATATTGTTTTGTTATAACGGTCCAGTCACAAATACTATTCTTGTTATGCTAATAACACAAGTTTAAGTCATTTTTTAAACTAGCGAATTTCCGTATCTATAGTTTAGAAATTCTGTCGACATAAAATATCAAAGTTATTTGGCTTTGAGAAGAAAAATCGTAACTCCTGAAGCTAATGATGAAGAAGAAAATGAGGAGTTATTACAGCTTGTCTGAACGCCTTAAACAGGACGTTATGCATTGATTGATAAAAATGTTTGATATGTGTCGTGTTGACGGTTAAAGAAACGGTTGTAAAAACTGAAAAGGTACAAAGTGATACCAATGAAACACAACCACAACCAGTGCCAAAGTTTGTAAATGGCTTAGAAGCCTTTGCAACAATCTGTTTTAACTTAAACATTCTGGGAACAAACATCGATCTGTTATAAACGTCGAAAATTTATTTCTTATTCGGACAAGAAAAAAGTGCATTCAAACCAAAATTATGAAATATTTTAAATAAAGTGTTCATTTCATCGTTATTTTGCATTATCTACGTAATTGATTAAAATTTAAACTTGTCATACACTTGTAAAGTTATTCATTTTCAAGCCTATTACTTCTTTATTTACTTTTTATGCATTTTCAAACCATTATTTGATATTTTATGTTAACCCGCATTCATCGTTAACAGAATGGGCAAATGAGAAAGATTGATCGAAGTTCTGATGCATATACCCACACACAAGGAACAATACAACACATACTTCAACCAAAGTATTCAAAGCAAAATCATCTCGCACACGACCTTCTTTTCGAGCTCTAATGGCAATACTAGATGCCCATACTAGAGGCATCCAATATGTTGTGTGAGAAGTCTTTAACTGTTCCATAATTTTCTTTTCATTTGGCAACAATATACCTATTGGAAAAAAGTAGGATCACTAAATTATTTAATCAAGCATGAAAAGGTGAAATATGTAAAACTTTTGAGATGAGAAATTATGAAGTCACCAGGCATCAAAACTACATATAAATAGCATTTAAACTTTTTTTTTCTTCCACAAATGTTTTGTAGTACTAGTTTATCCATTATTGAATATATTAGCAGGTATTTATGTATACATGCTTGAATAAAACATTTTATTCTAGTGTTTAAAACTCTTTATCTACCGATGGGACTTTGAAGCCTCACTAATATTATTTCCATATAACATTGAAACAGAACAAAATACTCCATTGAAACTTGTCTGTCTCTGTCACAGGACTTTGTGTTTATTATTACTACCTAGTTGACAACATGTAAATTATTTGAAGTTGATCATCACCACTATCATCGTCACTGTCCAGGGATGCCATTTTATGATTCTCCAATTTTATTAATCTATTCTCAGCTTTCTATCTCAATCAATTTTGCAAGTAAGTCTTTCATATTTTTTTTTATCGATTCCTTAACTTTAAACTGGTTTTAAAACAAAGTATTAAATTTTGTACTTCGATTAAAATTTCATAATGTGGTGCATGTACAAAATTAAAATTGTATAAAAAAATTAGAAAATAATGTTGAATACTAAAAAAATATTTGTCAAAGTGTAAAATAGACATTATTTAATGACACAAAGTTTCGTACGTTTTTAATAATTAAGTAAATAAAGGACTTTATCACAAGTTTTTTTTTGTCCAAATCAGTCATAGTACATTTCACTACTGAACAATACTGAATAATATTGCTCCATTTTTATACTTTTTAGAATGGATGTTAGAATTATGCAATGGATATTGCAAAGGTTCAGGTGCATAAATTAATTTCTTATCGATCTGAAAATCGTATAAAAAAAGGCAGATTCTAGTGAATTGTAAATAATATCAATACTGAATATAGATTTATATTTAACTATTATTTAATGAAAGTGTTATATTTAAATCAAGTATATTCTACATGAGTTGTTTTCAGTTTTAAAGAGGCGCTAAATTTAGTGATAAAAAGCATTTTTAGTTAAAACTATTAGAAATTAGTGAACAAGCTGACATAACCTAAGTAATACTTTGAGCTTATCTTTGATGTGAATATAGAATTTTTTTTATTTAAATCAAAAGAACAGGAGAAATTTTTTAAAAAAATCAATAGATAACTAAAAAATCTAAAGTGCTAGCACTACGGTACTTGTAGACTGATCAGGTCTAAGATAAAAATCACAATTAGGAATTTTACCTGCATCAACTAAGTGGTCCATAGTAGGAAATCTTTTTTTAACACATGGACTAATGCAAGACAATGTAATCACAAATGCCAAATTAGCATATCTCATCATAGTTCTCCTCATTAAACGTCCTCTTTCATCCTACAATATAAAGTAAAACTTTTAATAATTGTGTACTATTAGTTATCATTGCCTAACTTTTATTTGGTATCAATCAAAAACAGTTTAATAAACAGTACAAAATTATCTTAAATTATAACATAATACAGGGAAAAAAAGAAATTATCAAGCAATATTTGGTGCTGATCGAAAACCTTTGACAATATTCTGAGGAAATTTATAGCCAATTTTGCCTTAATAATGATAGAATTTAAAAGGAATTAAACATTTATTTTTTGTGAACAAATGTTTTCAAATTCGTACAACTATTTTAGAAGTATTGAACCTTGAAGAAACTTAAGTTTGAAACAAAACAGAAGAACTAGAGGAAGTGAATCATTATTCATTCAATAAGGTAATAACACTTTAAAAAAAACTTTAAAAATATTATCAAATATGTAATCTCTCCATTTATTTCCTTGATATTGACAATATGCTGTAATCTATGTATACTATAAACTTATTTTTTTACATTATTTTCTTATCTATTTGCAACGCTACAGTTATTATTCATTTTGTTAGGTAGTAATTATTTAAGTACCTAGTGTTGAAAAGTTAGTTATATGTAAAGTATTTATCAAGAATCATTTTGTGTTTTTATAAAAATAAAACTCAGTTACAAAGTAATTATTTGAATTTATTCTTGATATTTTCCGAAATGACTAGAAATTTTGAGCACAAACATTGCTATAGTGCCGCAGACTGTCATGCCATTTTATGATATTGTGATAGACATGCATTAAGAGTAATTGTGAAGAAGAGTTAACGTAATTTAATTTGTGTTAATTAAACAATTATTATTAAAAGCACAATTTAAAATTACCCTTTTAGTCCTCATTCTTACAACAGTTAAATTCAAGTTGTGAGGAAAAAAAACTTGTAAGCATAAGAATAGCATTGAGTTATGTTTCATAATTTGGTGTAAAGTATGTAAAGTAAAAGAAATAAATATTACCTGTCCATGTATGTAGGCACTTACAAAAAATGCTAAAGTATCTGGCCATGGAATGCAATTGAAAGAATCCCACCATCTTTTGACAACAATTGATACATAAAAACCCAAAATGAACGACACAGGAATCAAGTCCCCATAAGCTTTACAGTACAAGGAGACCTTCTCAAAGTACCTAGATGTAAAAAAAAAAGCATTTTCAGTTAACCCAAAAAAAATGAATAAGCAAAGATTTCGTTTAGAGCAGACCATATATGCCAAAAGTCTGAAGCGCAATACGAAAATAAGTTATGATTGCAAAACAATTGCTTAAAAAATTAACACAACACTGCGGAGCGTGCCATAGATTTTGTTTTGCAGACAAAATTGAACCAAACTTTATAAAGAAAAATTTTATCCCCCCATACTGAGAGCATAGAATATTGATAAGTCCAGCTCTTTGAATACTTAACTAAGAACTATGGAGAACAGCTGAGTGTGGTATGCCATATTAGAAAACAACTTATAGGGCAAACAACAGATTCAGGTATAGCAGAGCATCATCTGTACTAAGATCCAGTGCATGCACATCAGAACCAAGGTGACTGTCAAAAGGTATGTCACCTGTGAACTGATTGTTGAACAACACTACATGTGTGGTTGTGTATGCTGCCTCTCGCGAACTGCCATTTTATCCTTTCTTCTTACCTCAAAATATGTTAGTAGATTTAATCAACATGGATGACATAAATGTATTATGAAAGAATTATTTAAATTAATAGTACAGTACAGTTTATAAATAGTACAAAAATGCAGAACAAAATAACAATAAATAAAAAGAAAGAACTTTTTATCTCTTTTTTTAACCCCAGTAGTGGTTGGTTAAGAGCAGACGATCATGAAAACCCATTAAAAAAAACCTCTGCTGGTGAGCCCCTAAATGCTCAATTTTTATTTATACGCAGGGACCGCACCAAGCCTTGGAGGGCTGGTTTACATTATGTCTGTGAAAGATAGCCCTCGTATTCTATGTATATTCTTTGATTAAGAGGATGCTATACCACAGGAAAAAACTTTCATGGTGAATTCTCTTTAACTTCCATTGTTATTTCAAGATTTTAAATTTAGAGAATAGTGAGTTCAGTCAAACAACAAAGTTTCAACTGCCAAAAAAATGTTTTTGTAACATAAAAATACAAACAAAGGACTGCAGGATAGCTCCACCACTGCATAATTCTGCCATAATTTCTTTGCATTTAGACAATTAGAATTTTATTTTTCGCTTTTGAAACCTCATGGTCTTTTCTAGGTTCATCTGAACTTTAGAATACCGATGAAGGAGAAATAGAATTTGAAATAAAGGGTATAATGTCCTCTTAACATGGAAGAGAAGAAATTTACAAATTTACATTTCTGTTGGATGCAGATATGTGAGCCTTGATAGCTCAAATATAACTCCTTTCTTGTTCTAAATAATCATATTTTGTCTATTAATAGATGAATATGATAAATGTGACTGCTATATAGCTGAATAAAAGAAGTAGAAAATTTATCCTCTACCTTTTCATTTTGTCAACTTCCTTTCTTTCTGATCATTAACTTAAGAGTTAATTTTGTGTAAATCTTTTGAAGTGAGATTTACTGGTAGGGAAAGATATTTTTAAGAATTATCAGAATGTCTTTCTTAAAGCAACTTTTATCTGTAGAGCTTTAGATCTTTTGTTTACAGTCTTTAAAACATTTTGATGTCATAAAACCAATATTTTAACAACATTTTATTTTTTAAATTATGTTAAATTGCATAAGAAAAGCAGAATTCAATATTTGACCATAAAAACTTCCTGCAATCATATGCTTAAAACAATGAAAACAAAGACTATGAGCAATAATATATAATACCAATACAAAAATGCAATTTTTCCAGTTTTTGGCACAGATTTTTCAATGCTACTATTTTATACTTGGTTAAAAATGTTAATTTAGACACCACTAAAAAATTTAAATTACATAATTATGCAGTCAAACCTGCTTTTATCAAGCATGAAGGTACTACAATATTTGCCTGTTTTCAACGAGTTCAACTAAAAGTAGGCTTGTTCTAACTTATTAAAATATTTAGTTTTTAATTAATTTATTTTTTATTTCCATACAAAAAAAAAAACTTTACTGATTTTTTTAGAGAAAACTTAAATTTTTTTTATCAACTTAGTACAAATAACTAAGAATTATTTTTTAAAGCAAGTAATTAATGAATAAATATTAGATTAATCTATAAATTCGCATAATTAAGAGCTTTCCAAAATTGTCTTAAAACTTTTTAGAGCAATCTTTGACAAAAAAATCAATTTCTTATAAGGTTAATACAAAAAAGTTTAAATTAACTTTTTCTTAGAAAGTTTTATAAAATCAAAATAAATTTATAAAGTCTAACAGATGAAACTGGACTTTTCCAAGCAGATTCCATTAAAATTTTTCAGAATTTCTTTTATTTTAGAGAAAAAAAAATTTTAAAAGATAAAAATATATCAACTCAGTGCACTTATATTTCACTCAACATTTTTTTTAAAACTTTTAAATATTTGGTTAAAAATTTTGTTAATTTGATAAAATTTTTTAGAAAAATTTTAATTTCAAAAATTATATTGAAAAAAACAATTTATTAAAAAAAACTTTCTTAGGATAAAACATGAGTAAATTCAAATAATTTTCAGTACAAATAAATTATATTTACTTTTACAAGATAAATAGATAAAAAAAAATTGTCTTTTTATAAAACTTCAAGATTTATTCAAGAATTTTTTTTATTTGATTAAACCTTTTGAAAAAAAATTAATAATTAGAAATATATTAAAAAAGAAAAATCTTTTGTGGGATTAAACATGAGTTAATTTGGATAAATTATTTGCATATTATTATTTTATTAAAAAATTAATTGTGCCTTTTACACAATAAATAGATAAAATGAAGTAAAAGAAAAAATTACACAAAAGCTTTTTGCTTTAATCTCTAAAACTGCAAGCTAAAGATTTTTTCCAGCAATCTATCATCTTTATTTTTCTAGTATTTTAAACTCTGCTCTTAAGGTACTTCATATAACATTAAGATATATGAATTACACCACCTTCACAAATAGTTCTTATTTAAGACAGGTGAATCCATTTGGCAGAAAGCCATCATGATGAGAATAGGGTAAAAAAGAAGGTGTTGAAAAAGAAACTTCTTTCTTGAAAAGAGTTACTCAAGAGGTAAGAAGATGCACAGGTGCAACATAATAGAATCTTTCCCAATATTGTTCTATTTATATGAAGGTTCAGTGTTTGAGAAAAGAAACAATTGAAAGACAAGTATATAGTTAAAAGGACCTCATTTAAACACTCCAGAGTCACTGATTTTTACTAATTTTTGAAAAGTAATTTAATTTAAAATAAATATACACATGCAAAGCTCTAAAAAAAATTTTTTTATCAACATTATAAATTAATAATCTAGATTTTATTTGTTGGAAACGGAAATTAATCATTTTTAAATTAATTAAACAAAATTTCTTAACCAACTAATCAGTGTTAGTTGGATAGAGTTCTGATAAAAAGGAAGAAATTGAATTTTATAAATTTGAAATTAGTTTAGCAGAATTTCTCAACTTACTGCTAATCAATGTTAGTTACCACTGGCTTAAACAATAATTTAAGACTGAATAAAAGAAAGAAATTGAGTTTTGTAAACTGGAAATCAATTAAGCAAAACTACTTAGTACACTACTAATTATGGTCAGTTTGCATTGGCTTGAGTAACAATAATTTTAACTGAAACAATGTCAAAAACTGCATTTGTAAATTTCAAATTGATTTTGCAGAGTTTCTTAACAAAACGTTAATCAGTGCTAGTTTGCACTGGTTTGAATAGCAGTAATTTTTGACTGAAACGAAGAAAGAAATTGAATTTTGCAAATATTCTTAATTTAAAAAAAAATTTAAGTACTATTTTGTACGGTACATAACAACAGAAATTTGTGCTTGAAATCAAAGCAAAATGAAGAATTATTTTTTTATTTGAATGTGAAATAAATACTTAAATTAAGTATTTGAAAATAATATACATCAAATTGATAAAAAAAATACTATTTTTCTTTAACTTTTTTTTAGTTCATAACTGTTATTTAAAATCCTAAAAGTTTATCTGAATTTATTTAACGGTTTTTTATTATACATTGACACAGGATTACCAAATATAATTGCGACTAAATAAAAAAATTTACTAAAAGCTTAGGGAAACAAATTGCCTACTTAACTTATTTAAACTTATTAGATATCACTTTGAAAACCTATCAATAAAAGGTTTAAATTAGTTAGAAATTTTAAAATATAGTACTTTTTGAACAAGATTCATAAATTAATTGAATGTTACTTAAAAAATCTTAAAACATAGCATAAGCAGTGTATTTTGTGGCGTTCTTGAAAGATTTTAAAATAAAAGAATGCTATTATTCATAATTTGAAAGAATGATATTATTTGTAATTTTAAAATAACGATAAGCTCCAATTGATTAATTATAAGCTTAATAGCATTTTAAAGAACTATGAAAATAATAAAAAAGGTAATATTGTATAAAATGATAAGCTTAACTGAAAAAAATTTTCTTAGAGTTTGCAGACATGCCAACTGCTTCATTTTTTGGAAAATTCTTTATTAAACGGTAAAGTATTAATAACTAAATTTTTCTGAACTATTTAAAATTTTTGAAAACATTTTAAAAGCCACACTATGAGATAATAAGAGCAAAGTAGCATTCTATATGAATGATCAAATTATTTTTATGTCGTGGTAGGTAAAATCAGTTTTTTTTTAAATTTATTAAAAGAAGAGCCAAATAATTAGACAAAATTTTGCTACTACTGGAAAAATGCTTTTCACAAAGCAGAGCAAGTTGGCATCTCTAAATCTATATCTATTTTTGAAAAGCAAAATAACAATATTCATTGTTTAATTGTTTTTGCCTAAATCTGTTAATAATTTTTATCAATATAGACTTCTATTACTTGAGTAAATTTATGAATTATTAATAAAAAATACATGATCTGTAAACAAATTATATAATAAATTAAAATAACAGCTCTGCAAAGATATTTTAAATATAAATATATAGATTGGACACTCTACAGTAATTTTAGTTTGGCAGATTATACTTAAATCTACCTAATTAAAATTGCCTGTGCATACTATCTTAGAGAGTAAAGTGAGAACGCTTGTTATAATGCCTCCTTCGGCACAAACAGAAACAGATGCTATAACGTGAAGTCATTATATCATGAGTACACAAAATTATAGTGATTATTTACTCATATTGGGTTCATTTAGGCAAAAATATTATTCTTTGATCCACTTCTTACAAAATTTTTAATTTTTGTTTTAAACATATCATTTACCACAGGTCACGAGTAGCCACTTTCACTAAATAGCACGTGTTCAAAGAATTGATAAAAGAAAATATCAAATAAAAAAGAATCTGATACCAAAGTTTTTTAACTCTGAAAAAAGCCATCTAATATAAAACCCTTCACAAAAAAAGTGAATATAGTTTGAAAATAAGAAAAAATATGATTGTTGAATTTATTCAATCTGTAATAAAGAGAATTACAGTAATTTTCTGGAATTCAAACCAAAAAAAAAAAAAAGAATAAAATTGAAGCTATTATAGCAGAATGAATAGTTCAGTTTAGATGTTTAAATGACCTTTAAAATAACAATGTGCCTATGGCAAGTAGAGCTTCATGCATCCATTGTTATAAATGGAAAGGCCTGTGCAATTAGGGTGGGGGGCAGGTCATACTAAAGTAACTACAAATAAGTAAAAAATACAAATTGAAATAGTAAATTTTATATAAAGAATAAATTTTATATAAATTTATTCTTTATATAAAATTTATTCTTTATATAATCTTTATATAAATTTATTCTTTAATAAAATTAATAATTATACTTTTCAAAAACTTATTCTTTATATAAAAGTAAATTTTATATAAAGAATAAGTTTTTGAAAAATTCATGGTTAAAAAACACTGTTGTCTTTACTTACCTTCTCTGTGATTCACTCAGTATGAATCTGTACAAAATACTTAAAAAGTAGTAAAAAAGGAAATATAAGGATAAATCAGGCCACAGAAGTTTGTAAATACTTCCTCTCCATCTGTTATATAAAAATAAACACAATTCATTTTTTCAACTTATACAGAATATTCTAAAATCACATATTTTTTAAAATTTATAGGAAAATTGAAGCAAAAAATATGCAAATTAGGGGTTACAAATCAATATTTAATTAAAAACAAGTTATCAAAATCTGATGAATAATACTGAACCTAATCATGGGGATGATAGAATATCATCTACATTAGTCTGATTGTTCAATCCAACTTCAGCCAAATGGACTTGATCCCTGTGATTAACCTCAATAACATTTCATCCGATTTTAATGATAGTTTTATATTTTTTGTTTCTTTTGACTTGAATATAGATTTGTACGATCTACAGTGTAATACAGTGTTTGTACTATCAACTATGCTATTCAGAAAAAAAGTCTATATCTTAACACACATTTAAAAGGAGTAACACACTTCTTGATCTACCTGGACAGAAAAAAAAAGAAAAAAAACTTCGAATAAGTAAAAACACGTGAATAAAGTATAACTTCTAAATAAAAGCCACTGATTATAGTCGAAATATCCACCATACTTTTTATCTGACTTAAAATATGTGATGTTGCATACCCAGGAGAACGATAACAGCAATATTACTTTATTTCATAAAAGTCATTGAGCAGCTAATCCAATTTTGGATTTACAGCTACTAATTTTCAACACTATATTCTTGCACATTTAAGCCCAATCCAGAAGACAAGGGAACCAAGTATCGTGTGAAATTTGCCTTCATGGAGGACTCTGTGATAGAGCTAACCCACATTTGCATTACATGGAGAGGAAAATGACAAAAACCTCCCATGGTTAACCTGATGGCAAATGAACTCTAATGCATGATCACTCTACCATGGAGGATATTTTACACCAACACCGTGGTTGATGTAAGCTGAGTGTGGAATTTGTACAGACCAGCCATCGCTGGGATTCAACTCCAGTTCACCTCATTTGAAGACAAACGTTTTATCACCTGAGTCACCATGGCATTAGAAAAAAATAGAATTTCTTCTCCATCATATAGCAAAATTGAGTGTCATAAATCCTGTAACAAAGCTACATACAAAGAAGAAGTCCAACTTACAGAAAGTACAGAAGTACAGAAAGGAGAAGAAGTCCAGCTCTTTGAATGTATAGCTAAATCTGGGAACAGATCAATGTGGTGTGCTATACCAGAAAAACAACTTACAGGGTGAATGACATACTCAAATTTAGCAAAGCATCATATGTACTCAGATCCAGCGGATGCACACAAGAAGCAAAAGTGACAGTCAGGAGATATGTCATCTGAGAACTGGTTGTTGGAGAACTCTACATGTACGCTATCTCTAACCATTGGCCATTTCATTCTTTCTTTCTAAGTCAAAATGTGTTAGCAGATTTAGTTAACAAATATGATAGAAATATATTCTGGGAGAAATATCTTTTAATAGTATAGTACTGTTTATCAATAGTGTAAAAATGTAGAACAAAACAACAATAAATAATAGAACTTTTCTTCACCCAACCCCAGTAGCGTTAGGGAGGAGAGGTTTTCAACCAGTTTTAAAAACCTCTGCTTCTGTGCTACAGATATGGTAATATGGCTACAGGTAAGACTACAGATATGGTAAGATACAAATATAGGTAAACATAATCTAGCTTCTCCCCTTAAGTTGTATCGAGGCTGCCAACAATAATTAAAAAAACTCTCGAAATTTATTGCTGTTTTCATAGAAAATTGGAAGCTCAAGTCGAATTTTACGGCAGAACACTGCCTCTATTTATATTAAAAAGTATTCACAGTAGCTTTTGGATAACAGGGCGCTTATCACGAAAGGTCTGTTCTTTCCCTGAACTTTTATTCTGAAGAAATTATTCTTTGAAAAATCTCCCCAAATTAAAAACTTATATACGTAAAACCTAAAAATGATTTCTTGAAAAAAATAACACTACCTAAATGGGAATTTTCAACTTCCCTTTTGGACTACCCAGGCATCTTAGTTTTTTTTTCTTCCATGATCAGAAATAAAAACCCATTGAATGTGCCATTGATTCTTTTCTTCCTACTTTTGTTTTCCCATTCTCTATTTAGCAAGCTTTTCAATTTACCAATACAGGTTGACATCATCAAAATAAATCAGATGCCAACAGCAAGAGCAATCTTAATTCTAAAACTAATCCATTTAACTTTGCAGTTCGCCAGCCATTTCATGAAGAAAAATAAGTGGTATAAGAAACATTTAAAAAATTTTCCTTTCCAATTCTTATGTGTTTTTTTTCTTTTCAATTGTTAGTTTTAAAAGTTTTTTACTGTTATTTTAAGTATTTATATGTTTTTATGCATCTCTACACAATTTTTGCTAATACCTTTTGCTAATACCAGACTAAAGAAAAAATTATTTTGTTTGCAGTGTTGGCATGGAATATGGCAAAGCTAACTGATCCAATTATAAGCTTATTTCCCTACTTTAGCTTTTAAAAAGACTCTCAGCCTTTATTCAAAAATATATGGTAGTAAATTTTAAATAATACATTTTCAACTACTATCAAATAAATGTTTAAACTTTATTCTAAAATGCTTATCTGGAAGTCAATTTTTAACAAAGTATTAAAAATACTAATGACTAATAATAGAAGGAATAGGAAATTAATGGAAAATAAAAGAAAGAGAAAAAAAAAAGAAAAAAAAATAATAAAACAAACAGAATAATTATATAAAAAAAACTAAAACTTAGTTAGATGTTTCACCATTAAAAAAATAGTTAATACAACTTTCTTTTAAAAAGTTACCTAAATAAAAGTTTCCAAAAGCAGCCAAAACCTCTACTGGTAGCAACTTCTGCACTGTAAGTCACAGTCATCTTTTTTCAGAGTCTTGCAGCTCAATTTTAGACATCTATAATAAAAAATATATTTAAATGGTATTATCAGTTTTAAAAAATTACATTTTTATAACTAATTTCATGAAAATACAATTAGAAAAACACACATAAAAATATGAATTAAAAACTAATTGAATGCATAAAAATAAATTTGATACATTTTTATAAATTCAGGAAGAATAAAACATTTTTAGAAATAAAACATGGACAGTAAAGTAATTGCGTCAATAAAGACTGCCACATATAAAATATTTAAATTAAAAACACTAATTTTTAATTATTTAAGAAGAGCGAGTAACAGTTATTATACCAAAAAGTAGGGGACAAGATTTTATTTTGAGATGAGACTTAGTGTTTTAGTCCTTCGGGGTACAGGATACCAAATATAAAGTACATAAAAGTTAGGAAACAGGATAGTCATCTGAATTTATTCTTTGATTTTTATAAAAATTAAATTCCTAGTCTTTAATTTTTATAAAAATTAAATGTCATAATTAAAAAAAAGTCTCTCATCGAATTTGGTTTATGCTAAATGCTATTGCCACAACACTACTGCCTGGTTTTTGTTCCTACAATAAATTAAAAAATACGCACGCAAGGTGGCCATAACTTTTACTTTTTAAGTTTGGCAAAGCCTGAGACATTACTTTAGTTAATTTGGAGACCATTTGGTACAGGTACAGAAATCTGTCCAATTTAGCTATGGGAAGTATTCCGTATCGTGATTGTGGCAGAATAATCACCAAATCTTGGCAACTTTCGGGCAGTGGCCTACAAGAAACGAAAAAAAAAAAAAACATCACAGAATGGTACAATTTAGGAAGGTATAACTCTCAGCCATCCCAGGCAAACATCTATATGTTTCTTTTCAAAAAATTTGCAAGCTTAAAATTTATTTAGCACCTTGGCGATTGTAGTTGGCATGACAGATCACGATACGGAAATATCGCCTTAGCTATAAACACTAATTTGAGAAAATTGTGTAGATAAATGCAACTGTAACTGTGTAGATAAATTATGTAACTTAGATCTGTGTTTTGTAACTATTAGTGCTGTCTTCGTCAAATGAGAACTATCAGTGTGTCAAATCTGATTCTGCAAATGCATGTAAAAACAAATTAACTTACGAATTATTACTTAAAGAAAATGAAGGTATTATTAAATTATTTTTATTTTAAACTCTTATAAATAAATTATATTCATAAGAGAATATATTTTGACATTACAGTTTCGATTATTACTATTGTTTGAATAGCTAAATAATTTTTATTTTTACAGCAAGAGAACTTTTCAATAAAAGATCATATGAATTCAGATTTTTTTTTCATTTTTCCCATCTTTAAAAAACAATTTCTTGTTGGAAAAAGAATTGAATTCTTTGCAGCAGCTTCAGCACAAAAACTGATTACTTGGAAATTAAATTTTGTTGATATCACAAACATTTTGAATCTTTATATAAAAATATAAAAATTAATAACAGTGATATATTTTTTTATAAAACATACAGATAATACTAATTTGTCACAAACTGTAAAGCATAAAAAAATTACATTATACTTATTTAATAAAAAAAAAGAAAATAAATATTTAAACTAAACAACTTTAATTATTAACTTTGAAACTGTACATCTTTAAAGTAAAATTGTAAACAGAAAAGTGACATAAAAATCGAATTACAGTTGAAGATTTTCAAGTTTGCTTACAAATTCAAACGTCAAGACATTGTCAACGTCCAGAAACTGTGTTCACTCCAATCTCCAGCGGATTTGTAAACAATTCACCATGACCGGAACTTCAACCAAAATATCGAAACTGCAGCAGACGAGAATGTTGAGTTGTTTGCACTAAGGAAGAAATTAGAGTTAAGTTGTTTATCATGATTCTCTGAAGTGTCATTTTTACTGTATGCAGAACAAATTACGTATGTTAAGTAGGAGATAGAGCGGAAACCTGATTGGCGAGTTTTTAATGGACAAATATATTTCACCAATCAGATACCAAAAGTTTTTATATCCAGCGTAAATGCTCCCTGAATGTCTCCTGCCCTTAGTATGACAAAGTTTCTAGCTGAGTAACTTCACAAAGATTTCTTCAGTTTTAAATAAATTAACACAAGAAGAATGTTATTTAAGGTATTCAAAGCTTTTTTTAACCAATTTAAATCAAATGTTAAAGAAATTTTTGATTTTTACACTGGATGAGTCATGTTGGCAACGTAACATTCATTATTGATGTTTATGGAAGCAATCATTTTTTGATAAATTGAAATTCTAGTTATTTGTGACAATTGTGAATGCTTTTAATGTGCCTTCTTTATAACGTTTTAGTTCTTTAAATATTTTATTTATTAAAGTTTTAAACAAGATATAATTAGAATAAGAAATTTGGTTGATATTATTTTCGTAACTTAGCAGAAAGTTGTTTATTAGATTAGTTTCGAAGCCCATCTCTAAGTACGTAACTACTTTTCGAAGTTCCTATAAAAAAAATAAAAAAAACTTTACCACAATTTACTATAAATTAGTTTGATATGAAACTTTTCATTGTTTAAAGAAAAAGGATATTTGTGCATTTTTCTGTTCTTTTAGTATTTTCAATTAGTTACTTTGAATTGCTCATTGAAATAGCTATAATTAGTTGTGACTTATGTTTATTAAGTCCCGCAGTAGACTGGTCGTAAAGGCACAGTTCCCAGTAAAATATCGAAGTCACGTATCTCTGGCTGCTGTCAGTGAGCGAGTGTGTGACCACTTTGATCAGCTTGCGTAAGGATCGAGGGTAAAGTGTTCTACCATAAAGTGCTCGACATCCCGTAGGTCGTCTAGCTACCAAAGGGGAGGGGGAGAGATTTCAATATCTTGATCTGTGGCAGAATAATTGCAGTCTTGGTAACCCTGCAAGAAACTAGAGAAACCAATTTGATGGATATAACCCCCATTTTAAATTTTTCACAAATTTTTAAATAAAAACAAATTTTCCCTCAAAAGTTGTGTATTAAATAAAATATAACTTGTAAATTTTTCAGTAATATTTTCGTTCTGCTCAAAATTTTAGGAAATCACTGACTTTTTATAACTTCTCAGAAGAAAAATACCTTGCAGATTTTGTTTAATTACTACTAATATATTACTCATGAATATGTTTACATATTTTTCTGGTTCATTTTCCTCCTTACTCAGTAACACACTCTGCTGGATTTTCTTTACTTTTTTTCATAGTAATAATACTATTGCATGGCTTACAAAATTATAACTATTGTAAACTAGAAAGTTAACCACAGCTTTACAACGTGAATTTTTGGTCTACTGGTCAATAAACAGCTTTTGGGAGGTAGCGCTTTTTGATTTATCAAAAACCTTTTATTTCTCTCCACCGTAATTTTGAAAAGAATATGGAAGTTGAATTTCAAGCAAAATATCTCTTGGCATATAAAGTAATTTTTTATTTTAAGATTACAGATTATCTTGTTTTTGAGCACTACAGGATTGCAGGCAGAAGTTGCTTTAATTTATCTTAATACAGACATTCATTACACCATTAACAGATTTGTGGCTTATCAATGTTTAATACTTAGTAATTTTGAACCCAACCCAGGTAACAAGGGAACTCATGAATCAAGGAGTAGAGCTAGGCTCATCTTCATGGAGGCGTCTTAAGTTAAACTATAACATATTTGCCTAGCACAAAGAGAAAAATATCAGAACCTTACATGTTTAACTCAAGAGCAGGATGACTCTAACCCATAATCCATCTACTATTGAGGATACTTATATTATCTGTAAAGTGGTAAAAAAAAAAAAAACTTTTATCTCTCACATCTAACAGCCCACCTCTATCAGATTTTTGACTTCATCAATGATCCAGACCCAAAAGATCTTCTGGATCTCAAGTGTACCAGTTTTTCAATAACTTATATCTGATCACTGATTATTATCATTATAACTTATGCAATATATTTTTTTAAATGTTATTTTTTGATTTATATTGCAGTAGACATGGCACTTGAATTCTTGTTTGGGCGTCGGAAGACACCCGAAGAGATGCTCAGACAAAATCAGAGGGCTTTGAACAAAGCGATGCGGGATTTGGATAGAGAAAGATCTAAAATGGAACAACAGGAGAAGAAGATTATAAATGACATTAAGAAGATGGCTAAGGAAAATCAGATGGTAATTATAAACTTCTTGTGTGTGAAAAAAATTTATATAGATACTGTATGTTCTCTTTATAAGGTTATTCTAATTTATATCTTCTTTTGTGAATTGAAAAAAATATTTAACAAATTTTATATTTGTAAAAAAATTTACTAATTTACTTCTCCTAAGGAAACAAAGATTAAAATTTTTGCATATTCATTTCATTTTGCATATTCATTTGATTAACAAAACACCACCATACTTCCATTTTAAGTCACAAAAAAACATTTCATAAAAAAATAATAAAAACATTCCACATAAATTTCCCGAAAAAATGGCAGTTGCGAACTCACAGGATTTTTACCGAGGGGTGTCGTGCCAGAGAGCGTTTGTCCATGCTCAAAACTTGAAAACATTTTTTTAGATATAGGTCTAACTGCATGCCTCTTAATGCTTTAATTGAACTTTGCTTCTAGGCTTTTCTACTTTCTCTCTTTATAAAATTGATAATTAATTTATTATCGATTCAGCTGTTAGAGCGTTCGCCTTCCAATCGGGTTAACCAAGAAAGTTTGAATTGCTGTGGTACGGTTGGTACGAATTCTGCACATGACTCGCAGAACCAAAGTGCTGACATAAAGCATCCTCAGTGGTAGACGAATCATGGATTAGAGTCCCCTTGCTATCTGGCTAACCGTGGGAGGTTTTCCTCTTCTTGCAGTGTTTTCATCATAGAAAAAAAATGGGTGAGAATTTCTCACCCTTTCTCAAAAACAGGGTGAGATTTCAAAAAGTTAAGTGAGATTTGTAAAAACTAAAAGAACACAGAAACTCTTGAAAAAAAAAATCATTTCTTTAATTATAATACATTTTTAACGTCTTCTATTTCTTAAAGCATTGACTATTTTTGGTGCATCATCATAGAAGATTTTGCCTTTACAAGGTATTTGTCCATCTTACATAGGTGCATAAAAAATTTGAGCGTCTTACATGAAGAAACCTTACCTTCGATAAACACGTGGTTGCAGGGAAATGTGTTCTGAAAGGGGTTCCATGGTTGTGTTCTGTTGTTTGAAAAGATTCTGAAAAATACTGGTAAATAGGGAAGCTAGATAATGGGGCAGATGTTGAAAATAATGAAAGATCCAGGAAGAAAAGTGAAATGGATTTTATTCTAAATGGTGTAATTCGAAGCTTTTTCCAAAATGCGAGAAATTCGCAAATTTTGAAATTGATTTATAGAATGCGCGAATTTCTCGGTGTAATAATTTTTTAATGCGAGAAAAAAAATATGCGAGATTCTCGCGCTCTCACACTATAGTGAAAACACTGTCTTATAACATAAATGTAGGTTAGTCCCGTTAAAAAAAGTCCTCCATGAAAGCAAATTTCTTCCAATACTTGATCCATTAGTTACCTAGTCTTCTGGATTAAGTTCAAAATTACAAGGCTACGGAGTTGACTAAATGCAAGCTCAAAATTGGGTCGGCTGCTCAAAGACTATTATAAAGTAAAATATTTTTTTTTAAATGCCAATATAGGTAAAAGTACAGTTTAAAAGAATACTTTAAAGGAGAAGTGCCTTTGAAAAAATAATCCGGTTTGAGGCAGCCGCTTTTGTTAATTAACATACATCATCTAGATAAATGCAAAAACGACAATTTTTTTCACTTATCAATGAACTATCTAGAAATATTGCAATTCACAAAAAGAATGAATGAAATTTTCAATCAACAAGAGTGTGTATGAAATTTACCAAGATTTTGTATGCATTCTTGTAACATCATAAATGCAAGGGGAGCTTCAAGTTGATTTTCCCATGAAAAGTGCAAAAATACTCTTGTAATTAGAATGAATAATCCACATTTTGCTGACTTTTTGTCCATCGATCACAACCACCTTACATTAGAATCTAGGCATTGGTTGTATTTATCATTTAAACTAAGACAAATGTAGCGTGTGAAGTATTAATGTCAATAAGTTGTATGATTAGTGTTTTAAGGTGCTGTGAAAAATTTTATTCATTTTTGACTGCTGAAATGTCCATTGTATTTTATAGGATGCTGTAAAAATAATGGCCAGAGATCTTGTCAGAACAAGACGCTATGTTAAGAAATTCATCCTCATGAGAGCTAACATACAGGCAGTTTCTCTCAAAATACAGACCCTCCGATCTCAGAATGCTATGGCCACTGCTATGAAAGGTGTGACCAGAGCAATGCAGAATATGAACAAACAAGTAATGATATTGATTTTTACTCATTTACATGTGTGACATTTCTGAAGTGTCTTTTAGAATTATTTTAAAATTGTCAGTACACAGTTTTCAGTGAGTATGCGACAGAAGAAATATTTGTGTAACGGAAGGGTGGGCAAAAGTGGCACATTGCTTCATCTTTCATCAAATATTTGTTTGCCAGCATTTCCTTGCGTTTTTTATTGATACTAATTTTTGAAAAAATTTTGCTTAAATTCCTTTTAAAAGGAAATCAAGCTTGAATCAAAGAGCATGGTTGAAAACCTTGGATTGGGTAAGCATTTACTGCTGCTTTTGCCCTTGGGGTAAAATATAACCCTTGTTTCAATTCGTTTACTTTCAAACTAACAAAATTTACCAGTTAGTGTGAGTTCATGGCCTTCCACTTTCTACCAGAAAGGTTGGGAATTGAAATTCCAGCTGGGATTTCCAACTAATTTGTATGTTCGATTCAATTTTTAAATAATTTTTTTTTAAATTTAAATTTTTAAAAACAAAAAAAAATCGGTATTTAATAAGCAAAATACAATGGTTTATTTTTTTTAAAAAATTGTACTTTAAAATTTCTCAATTATCTACCTAAATTTTTTTTAAAATTTTGTAATAAAAAAAATTAAGTGTTTTTTTAAATATTTTAATTATAAAAATTTAAACAAATGTATATTGTTATACTTGTTAAGAAAAGAAATGAATTGAAAAGCACTATTTGTAACTTAACTATAAAATCATTTAATTGTAAATACAAATTTAATTGATAATATGTAATGATTATAATTGCAAGTAGAAAAAAGTTCCAAAGAAGATTGATGTACAAGTGGGTTTTCAATATAAAAAATTTAAATACAAATATACAGGAGTGAAATGAAGAGTACCATGAAGGAAATAATATGAAATGAATATATACAAAAAATAAATTGAAATGAATAAATTAAATATTTTTAAAATAGTCCATATAATTTATTTAAAAAATAAAAAAAAAATAATTTTTTTTCTTCTTTTTTTTGCTTTTAAAAGTTTAAATATTTTAAAAGAATTAATTTAAGAAATATAATTTCTGATATGCACAAAATTATTAATTTTTATTGGTGAAAAATTAAGACCAAAAAGATTTCACATTTTAAACAATATTTAGTTAAATCTTAGCATTTCAAAAATCTACGTATTTGGAAGAAAAAAAATATTAATTAATAATTCGTGGATATTTGCGTTATCAAAAACTTGCAATGATACTTATGAGTATCCAATTATTTCAGAATATGTTGCGGTGTAATTATATTTTAGATAATCTCTTTTGAGCACCAAAGTTAAATTCAAATTTCTTTTTTGATAAGAAAGGACTTATAAACAAAACCTGTTTAGAATTACTAATTTGAAAATTCAAAAAGTGTTAGAGCTTGTAAAAAGTTTTAAAAATTTATTTCACAGAACACATTTTTCACTATACAATATATTAAAAATTATGTGCTACTCAGTTTTTTTTTTTTTTTTTTTTTTTTTTTTTTTTTTTTTTNTTTTTAATATTGGATAACTTATTTATTTCTGTTAATTATAGTTCATAATAATAGCTCCTCAGACAGTTAAGCTTTTTGGTGTTATACAGTTAAGCTTTTATACTTGTCTCTTTTTCTCTGATGCATCATACTGATCTTTAATTCTTTTTTGTCCCCTTTCAGAGATGCCAACTTGCTCTGGACAGTGAATAAATATTTTTGAGTGGTAGTCTTTTATTGTATGTTTCTTGATTTAATAAATTTGATTTATAGGGTTTTTACTTACCGCTACTTCTTAATAATTCAAATGCTCTTATGATAAACTATTTTGTTATAATTAAGCAGTGTTGAGCCTTTTAAAATGTTAGCAAAATTAACTGAAAATCTGCAAGTTTTAGTTGGTACTTCTCTACTTTTTCTAAAAAATTATTTTGTCAATTCTGAAGCAGTTGGCATTTCTACATTTTGTCTGACTTTGATATAACACTGTTTGTTTTCTTTGCATTGAGTGCATAATAGCCTACTGAACAAAAAAAAAATTTTGGAACCTTTGTGCCATACACTAATTTAATCATACTCAAGAAATTTTGAAACATGAATGTAGTCTATTTATAGATAAATAATGTCTTATTGTATTTCCAAAGAATATTTTGTAATAGCATAAGATATTATAATTTCATAGTCTAGGGCAGGGGTCGGCAACCTGTTTGTCCTCAAGGGCGCAATACTAAATTTGAAAATCACCGAGGGCGCATATTTTACAGATAATCATGCACAATCCTAAACTCAACTGACTACTTGCTGTATATCGCCGTTTGACAAGAGTTAAGTAAATCGCTCTTACTATCATACATTTACATTAGTCCAGCCAAGGCGCATTAAAAATCGATCGGGGGCGCCGCGTTGCCTACCCCTGGTCTAGGGGTTCTTAAACTTTTCCAAGTTGCAGCACCTTAATAAAATTTATAAGATTAATTGATTGAGCACCTTAATAAGATCAATTGCCTCATGTTTAAATATTCTTATGACATTTGTCTACTGTTTAATATTTGTATATATATATATATATATATATATATATATAATGTCCATTCAATATGCCTGAAATTGTGAAACAGAAACTCTGAAGAGTTGATCATATAAGAAAAATAAATTACCATCTACATTTGTATTGTGAAATGTAAATCGTATTGTAAATTTGCTTAATGGGACGGCTGAGCTTGCTGCTCATTACATAACTTTTCAAATCTAGGAACAATACTTAATATAGTTACAGAGTTCTTCAGAATGAGCTTGCTGCTCATTACATAACTTTTCAAATCTAGGAACAATACTTAATATAGTTACAGAGTTCTTCCTAGGAATAAAAAGGGGCGGGGGGTGCATCATTGCAGAAAAGGGCACATAGACACTCAAAATATGTAATATCGTAAAAATTATCAAAATATGTAATAACGGAATTTGATCTTCAACAATATTTGTATTTCAAGAAGTAAAACTCATTTTCAAAATAAGAGAAACATTTATAGTTTATGAAAAATATATAAAGACCATCCTAAAAGACAATCACTATGTACACATTTTTTCAAAAAAAGTAAATTGAAAAAATAATTATCAAATTGAAAAATTTTTTCTATAATTTAAACTTAAAATTATTAGACAATAAACATTTAAACGTGCTTTTAAAAAAGGGGGGGCTTTGCATTCGTGTACTGACGGTGTAATTGTTCATCAATAAAACATAATTTTTTGCTCATTTAAAATTTATTTTATTTAGAATTTTTTAGATTAATATTATATTTTATAAATTTTTTCTTTCTCTGCTTTCCTTATTTATTTAAATAATTTATTTATTTGGGCAGTTTTTCATTTAATTTTAATGAATTCTAATCCTCAATCATCATGGGGTATGCCTGACATTGTATTAATTAATATTTGTATTAATTAATTAACTAATTATTTTTAGGGTGTTATAGATGGCAATTAATAACTTTTGATGAGTGCCATAACATAAACTACACTATTGTAAAGATCAATATTTTTTCTCAAGTTTGTCTACCATATAAATTTTTTGGACCACTAAGTTTCTATTGCTGGTGTGTACCCTATTGATTATATAAAAAGAATAATTACAAGAAATAGGAGTAAAGAGTCAATAAAAATTTTGTTTGCTTCATAATTGCTATTTTTTTTTTGTTGCTTTAATTATGAGGCAGGTGAATTTTTTTATTGGCACTGAGATCTTAAGCAAAGAATATACATAGGGGAAGAAGGCTAGCTTCCATAGTCTTAATGTAAATCAATACCCCAAGTTTTGGTGTGGTGCCTGTGTATAAATAAAAAAACAAACAACACAGCAACTGAAGTTCTTGAAATGGTTTCCAGCCTCCTCTCCTCCATACCGCTACAGGGGTTGGGGAGAAGAAGAAAAGTTTTCCCTTTTTGTTTATTATTGGTTTCTTCTGCATTTTTACACTATTGATAAACGGTACCATGCTGTCAATAAAGCTATTTGTGCTGCTATTTATATCAACTATGTTGATTGGATTTGCTGCGACATTTTGACATAGAAGGAAAGAATAAAACAGCGGTTGTCAGAAGGCAGCGTATCCAACCATACGTTTAGAGTTGCCCAACAACCGGTTCACAGGTGACGTACCTCCTGACAGTCACTTTGCTTCTTATGCGCATGCCCTGGATCTTAGTACATATATTAAATCTGAATGTGTTGTTCACCCTGTAAGTTGTTTTACTGGTATGGCATACCGAACCGAGCAGTTCTCCTTGTTAGTTACATATTCTAAGAGCTGGACTTCTCCTTTCTATATTCTTTGTCTTAAGTTGAGTTTGTCTTTTCTGTAATATATCTTTTTAAAAATAATTCATTTTGATTCAACATTGAAATAAAGCATATACTTTATTTTTGAAAAAATTCCGATGGTCTGAGTTTTTTTCCAAACTTTTTTCTCAGTACTCTGTAATTGAGAGAAACTAACATTCTAGTTGCTATTGTAAGTACAGTTGTTGTTACTTTTGCATTGATGGTTACACTTTTCTAGTTTGAAACTCATTTTGTTTTTTATGCCTGTATCAAGTATGTAAATGGTGCATCTTAGCTTAATTAATTCTTTTACTTTTTTGTTTAATGTTTAGCTTAACCTACCTCAAATCCAGAAGATAATGCAGGAATTTGAGAAGCAGAGTGAGATTATGGACATGAAAGAAGAAATGATTAATGACACCATTGATGATGCAATGGGTGAAGATGAGGATGAAGAAGAAAGGTATACTTCTTTCTTATCTTGCTACATTAATTCCACTTGTAGCTAAGTATTCAAATCAAGGTTATACATCTTAAAACTATTTTTAAATCATTATCAGGGCTGATTGTATTCCGGGCTTTTTGTATCATCCTTCCAGTTCTAAAAATTAGAAGCAGGGCATAGGATTCTTCTCGGAATATAGCGGAATTCCAGGATTCTCAAGAACATGCATTCTCGAACATTTGCTAATCAGAAACTAATAATCTGACGAAATTTTTATGGAATTCCTCAATCTAAACTTTAACTTTTGAAACTTTTGCTAATTCCTGCTAACGAGAGTCTTACTAACACGTGATTCTTCCGCCAATTGATGCTTTTGGTTTGGTCGATTTTCGCCATTTTGAATTTTTGGAACTACAACAGAACCCACTAATATCGCCATTTCTATTTGTCTAATTTAAAAGTTGCGATTCGTGTTCATGTAATTTGAAAATTGTACATCGTGATTCGAATTCCAGCGATTAAAAAACCAATGTCAGGATTCTTGCAAGAACTAAGATTTTTCCTAAATTAGTTACCATAAAAGTGTGATATTCCTGATTGGTAGGTAATTTAATTAAAAATATTATTTGAAAAAATTACTTTAAATACAAAACATGTATGGTATATAAAATGATATCTTGATATCGATTTTTTGCACTTAAAATTTTCAGGGTTTTTCATTTTGCATCACAATTACTCCTGCATTATTTATCTAAGAAGTTAATTTCAGAATATAATATTCATTTGAAACAGTTTTAAATTTTATATTAAAAATTTTTTGTTTTCCAACATACCATACTTAATTAGGGGGCCATATTGTGGGTTTCCATAACTGGCCTATAATTATTTCCTCTCGTAGGGTACACTAGTACCCTGTAATATAATACGGGACCCAGTTTGAATATTATGGGTCAATAGTAAGGGGAGATATAGGGCCATGTAGTAATACAGATAATCAAATCAAAATATTCTAGTGATCTATCCTTTTTATTTATTGACATTTTGTTCTTTTTGAAACAATCTCTGTTTGTAATACCTTTTAATATGTATTGCAAATCGATATTACTTTCCAATCCCCCTAATATAATCATCAACTAAATGTGCTTTAATTGTTAACCGATGACCCAAATATTTTATTTGATGAAGGGCTTTTTTTAAAAAAAAATTTTTTTTTGATGTTTCTTAATAAATTAAGTTCAAGTAACTTAACTAAATCATGCATTTTAACTTAGTGTTTGGTTTATTTTTCAGTGACGCCATTGTTGCCCAAGTGTTTGATGAACTTGGCCTTGATACTAGCAACTTATTGAAAGATCTCCCAAGTACAGGTGGATCATTGAGCGTCGGTGTTTCAACCAATAAGCAGCCAGCTGCGGTGGCCGACGTGGATGCCGATCTCCAGGCTCGTCTAGAAAATCTTAGGAGAGAATGATGAGGAGAGAGTTGATTGTTCTATTTTTGTACAATAAAAGTTCTAAATATTGATAAAGAAAATAATTATTTTAATTTGGAGCATCAATGTATGTTTACATTCAACACAGTTTTTTTTCCCTTGTGAATTTGAAAGTATTTATGTAAAGTTAGAGCTTGTATAATATTTTATTTCTTTTATTATCATTATTATTTTGATTTCTTTTCAATAACCTTTATTTTGCTATCGAAAAATACTGTTATGTTTATGGATATTTCTATTATTACTTGTCTTCAAATTAAAAATGCTGAATTTCTTTTAATATTATCTAATATTTTAAGAAAATCTGAACTTTTTAAATTTTCCATGGATTTAAATTAATTTAAACAAAATGAGTATTTCTGAAATAAATATGGTTTATGATTGATCTACTTATGATTATTCTTATGATCTTATCCATATGATTGATCTACATGTACAATCCTTGTACGTGTGGATCATGTACACGTTGATTAACGTAATCTTTGGAGCAATATTTTTCTTTAACAATGTTATTGCAGAGGTTGTATAAGTTTTTATAACTTGTAATTTCTTGAATTTAATGAACAATGGGCAACAAGTTTGTTTTTAAACTATAAACTAATAATTTTAAGATATGATTAAGGAAGAATCAATATTTCGGTTGTATCAACTATTTTAGATATTGTTTTGCAAACGAAGAAAATATCTGGGGAGAGGGACATTTTCCTTTGCAGTAAAACAATCCCCAGTCTAATTTCAGGGTCAATACTTGAATTAACGTTAACTTATCTTTAAAAAAATCGTTTGTTCAGATTGAATTGCTTATTACGCAAGCAATATTTGTTATGAAATGTTTTAGAATATACAATTTATGGCCTTTGTGACATTTTTGCTATGCAAACAGAATCATCCATTCAGTTTCTAGAATGGTGCTAAAAAAGCAAAGGTTTATTCTCACTGTGATGTGACTATTTTGCATTGAAATTACTTTTTATTTAAAATGCATCCTAATTAATGTTTTATTTAGTTTTTTGTGAGTGTGTGGAAGAAAATATTTTGACTTAAACTCTTAGTGGAAAATACTTGTTATTGTAGATTTATGTACAGTAAAAAATAAATTGTTTTTATAATTATTGTATTCTTGTTATGTTGAGATTTCATATATATATATGTTACGCTTTAAAAGCATAAACATTGTAGATTCGTAGTGTGGCCAGTGCTTATTGAAAAAGATACAGGAACATGGAGAAATAATACAATGTTATTAAAGTAAGATGCCGGAGCCCCAAAAATGAGAGCATGACATGCTGGTGGATAGACAGAGAAGAGCCAATTGACCTTGGAAAGAGGGTTTTTATATCTTTCTGGACAATATATTTAAGTATTAATATGTCTTAGTAACGTGGGACTGATCAATTTCCCAAGCTACTGAAGACACATCATCACATTTTCTGAGATAAATATTATGTAATGTTAAAAGAATTATATATATAAATTTAAAGATTCATCAAACTTAGTTGACTTCATCATCAAAACTTCATAGAGCTATGCAGAAGATTTCAAAAAGCAAACTTTCATCATCGGGTTGATCAAATTTTTATACATGTTTTGGGTGTTAACCTCTTGAAATGGAGCCATTTTTAAATTGTTTGTTTTTTATCTTTTTATTTATGTTATTAGTTTTAATATTCAAATTATGTCTTTTTTTCTTCTTCCAAATTAAAATAATTTTTCTAAATGCAAAAAAGTAGTAAGTAATTTAAATAATAGAAGGAATTGAATACATCTATTGTGCTTGTAATAGGTGTAAGACTTTCTTTTTTTTTCCTGAGAGTTGTAAAAGATACATTCCTTAGCAGTGTCACCTTTCATATATTTCACAAAAATTGTGAATTGACAATTTGTTTGATTATTTGTTTCTTCCTCTGAGCGATAACATTGGGCCGAGCTCTAATAAACTTTCCAGTTCGACTGATTTCTATAATCAAATGTAATATCACCTCACAAAACAAATTGAAAGATAAAGGCATTTTAATTTTTTATAAATGTGTCAATTTTTTGTCTGCCTCTTTGTTGACCCTAGGGCAGTCGTGTCTTTATTCAAATTTCCATCTTGTAATATACTGTGTGCAAAAAAAGGAATGAATAACTTTTGATCTGATGATCGGATCTACATGTTCTAGGACTCGATCTCAATGGCTCGTAGCGATGACGTCAAATATGCTAATTACAGTAGAGTCACGATTATCCAAGTTTCCGCTTTAACCAAGGTATCAAATATTTCAAGAATTTTTTTTTTGTTCTAGTTTATTTTTAAAACTACCAAAAAAAATTCTATCTTCCAAACATTCACGAAAACAAGCTTTCGGACAACACCAAATTACCGATGAAATTATTGTTAATATCGTCAATAATGAAAATTAATCTAGCGAAGAAAATGACGAAAATCAACATATTAAAATCTCTCATACAGATGGACTAAAAGCTATCGAAAGTGCTATCGAATATATTGAACAGCAAGAACAGGCGTCACCAGCCTTCCTGTTATCCCTAAACAAAAGGTGAAACATTGCTGCAGAAAAGTGCCAAAGTAATGTAAACGATTAAGGACTTAAACTCTTTTAGGTAAAAAGTCTTTCATTCTCGTAAAGTATGCTCTTTAACTGTTTTTAAGAAAACTTTTTAATTATAATATGAATTGTAGGTGGTGTACTCGTATAAATTTTTTTATTTATTAAATATATTACATTTATACCTACTCTTACCTTTTTTACACTATTCGAATTAGTCATGGCCCTCAAAGTTACAAAATCAGACACAAAAACATACTTTCTCTGAATAAGCATACTTTTTTTCCTTACGGTTTCCGATTTCTGACCCCCCATGGTATCCTCCCAATAGTTTGGTGAAGAGAGCACTCAAAGTTTGGACCCCTTAATGTTAATTTTACTTTTTGCTTATTTCGCTATATCACGAGAACTCTATAAGCGAATTGAAAAAATTTTGCACACAATTATAAAAATCATTTGTCCCAAAATGATTATCCATGCACAAAATAACTTTCAGTAAATATTTATTATTTTATTTAATAATGGTCGGAAATATTTTTCAACTGTAAAGGTGTACTATTTTTTACCTCATTCTAATGAATACAATTTTACAAGACAAAATACTCGAATAGTTTCTGAGAAATCGAATTTTAAATATCTGATTTTCTTTTTTTTTAAATTCAATTTCTCAAGAAATTTTCAACCGATTTTGATGATGTTTTGTATTTCGCCATGTATAATTATATTCTTTGAGATGATGCAAAAAATTTTATACCTTACAATTCAAAATTTTTTTGACTATTATGAATATTCACTAAAATTTTTTTTTTTTTTTTTGCGTAGAATTATTTTCGGACTAATGTCTTTTTTAATATTATGCAAAAGTTTTCCGATTCGCTTAAAAAGTTTTCGAGATATAGCGAAATACGCAAAAAGTAAAATTACCTTTAAGGGGTCCTAGCTATGGAGCTACAAAAAGAACATACCAAATTTCCTCAATTCTTACAGAAACTTATACAGGGAGATAAATGGATATTTCATTACTGTAGCTAAAGAACATGTGTAACAACCAGTCATCAGGTTCTAGGCGCCATGACCAAAAATTTCTGTACTTGTAAATTAGACCGTGTACTTTTTCAATAGTCCTGATCTAACCATAGTCTGAAGAGGAAAATAGCTCTACTAAGTTAATATCTTCTTTATAAAAGAAAACACTTTTAGTTTATCTTCTGGAAGAACGCAAAATTTCAGTAAAGGATGAATGAAGACCTGCCCATCGCTTATTATTCTAGTTCTAGAGTGACATTAAGAACCAGAACTTGCAATAAAAACTATCTATTTTTAAGTCAATTAACAGGGGCTCCTGAATTCGTTAAGAGTATGCAGACCGACTGATTTATGGATTGAGTTATTGTTATACGTAGATATGCAAGCTTGCGGCTCATTACATAGCTGGTTATTTACTTATCAAATTGAAGAACCGATAGCACAAATTAGAGTAAGACACTGAGAGCATAAAGATACGCCTAGGGTTAAGGTGAGATTCGAACCTGTTACTTCCATGCTGGAGAGCATTAGGAGGAACGGTGATCGGCCAAGAAGGTCTCCAGAATATATAGTAGTAGTATTGTGTTTATGTCATACTTCATTTGCACAATGGACTATTTTATTTTATAACCGTCGTTGAACAGCCGTCACAATTTTGAGTCTACGACTACCAATGTTCAACTCCTTGGTCCTTTTTTTAATTACCGTTGTTGAACAGCCGCCCAATTTTAGGGTTTACGACTACTAATGTTCAACTCCGTAGCCTTGTAGTTTTGAATCAATCCAGAAGACAAGGAAACTCCTGGATCAGTATCCTCAGAGGTATGATTTTGGGAACATGGAGGACTTCGTGACTCGACATTGCATCAGTACTACACTGGGAGTCATCGGCCGGCGTAGACCGAACCCACGACCTCTTGGACATGGGCCTAGTGCCCTACTAACCAGGCTATCCGTCGTTGAACAGCCGACCCAATTTTTGGCTTACCAGAGGTATTGATTTGTTATAGGAACATGGAGGACTTTGCGACTCGACAGATTTAACGTGCATCAGTCACCATTTACTACACGGGGAGTCTTCGGCCAGCGGGGAACTCCGCAGTCTTGTAATTTTGAACCCGTTCCAGAAGACAAGGATTAAGTATTGGGAGAAATTTGCCTTCGTGGAGGACTTTTTGACGGAACTAACTCGCCTTTGCTTTGCATGGAGAGGAAAACCACAAATACTTTCCATGACTAGCCTGACGTCAAGGGGACTCTAACCCATCATCCTTCGACCACAAAGGATATTTTACGGCAGGTCTGTGCGAGACGGGTGCGGAATTCGTATCGTCGCTGGGATTCGAACCCGGGACACCTCATTGGGAGTCGAGTGCTCTATCCCCTGAGGCACCACGGCTCTGGCGAAAGTATTGTCGGGATGAACGAGTGTCTTGAATCCTAGATTGTGGCAGGTTTCACCGTTCTGATGATCCAGCTGGAAAATCGGGGGTTCGTGCCATGAAATTATTGGAGAATCTCAACGCTTATGAGCTAACAAAAACACAAGCATTTAATTGGCGAAGACTTATATATTGTTCATTAAAAAATATTATTTTGGAAAGTGTAAGCTCTATAAAATAATTTATAATTTTTTTTTTTTTTTAAATTGTCATGCTTTTACCGAACCTAGGATCTTACACAATTTTAATGAAGTTTATCGTAATCGGAAAAAAACTTCCTCATCAATTTCCGTTCGAAAAAGAAGTTTCGCATTGAAAATAATTCGCTATCAATTGAAAAAAAAAACATTAAAAGTTTCGGCTGACGATTCAAAAATAATTGAGAGAAAACATTTATAATTGCGTATACGAAACAGTAACAGGAGTTTTCAAATGCGTTTTGTGTTGAAATAGAACTAGTTTTTTTTTATATACAAATGTGTTATATTTTGGAGTGATAATTCCTAATTGATAAAATAAGCGTTTAACCATGTAAGTATAAGTTTTTTAAAATTATAAAATTTTTAAAGTAAGCTTTTTATGTTTTAAGTAAGCTTTTATTAGTAAACTCTAGTTCCCTTTTTAAATATAATTGGTGTTGAGACTGTTGAAAGATATTATACACAACTGCAAATTATTAAAATGCTAAATGTCATGTTTTTCACTTATTTTGACCTAAATTAATACTAGAGAATGAAAAAAAAGTATTAAAAATATGTTTAGTAAAAATTTTATGCCAAAGGTAAAATACTGAACTGGGTACGATACAAAATACTACTACAAAACTTTTTTAATTTTTTTTTGTAAAGGAACGCTTGTGAATTCTATCTTAGAGAAAACGTGTAATCTAAGAGAACACCTTTATAAAAACTATTTTAGAGAAAACATGGATTTAAGAATTCTATTTTACTAAATACGTGTAATTTAGCACCTCTGTCAAGTAGGTTAATGACCCCAATAACTACGAAACATCGTAACGACTTTTTTGTTTTTTTCGTTTTCCTAGTTATCTTATATTGCTTAAGTTTAGGTTTTCAACTTAACGGAAAATTTCAAAAA